AGACACAGAGCTGTGTTAGGGGCTTACAGGAACTCTGTGCCATCAGCCAGCACATGCAGCCCCCACACGCAGCCCCCACACTTCCATTATTCTCATCACAGAGCTGAAGAGGCAGAGAGAACAGCTGTGTTACTTCCCCTTTTTGTACAAGGATGAAAAGCCCTGTGTGTGGGAGGGGAGAAAAACCCAAGGAATATCACATGGCCATCTGTCCTTCAGTAAAATGCAAATCTTGTGAGAGAAGGAAAATAAGTTAAAGAGTCCAGTGGGTTCAAACTGGAATGGAGTTGATAAAGGCAATGCAAACATTTGATTACAGGTTGGGGTTAGGGCTCTTCATTCAGCCTTGGTGCAAAAAAGTCATCAGCAAAAATACCAAAGGTGTGGGAATAAATCGGGCAGAAAACTCAGACTTAAAATCAAATTTATTTAGAGGAAGAATGACTTTACAAGAGGTTGATACTGATAACTAAAAAGGAAGATAAATAAAAGCTTGTTACAAAACCTAATGGTTTCTGGCAAGTTACAGAAAAACTGAAGAATTTTACAGTCAATAACCTGCTCACTTTTTACATAATTACAAATTAACATACAGCAATTAGGTTTTACCCTCTTCTTTAAAAATCTTTTTCCCCAACTTTTTTCTTTATGGGTTCAACATGAAAATGCAAAGCTTTTTTTTTTATTTATTATTTTTTTATTTAATAAGAAACAAACCAAAAGCAGAGGTATATCAGGTTATTATAATACACCTCAATGTTCTGGGAATTACTCAAGTGCATTCCATATTAGTACAAAATAAACACCAGGCTAAACTTTAACCATAGGCGAACTGAACCGGACACAGATTTTTCTTTCTTTTTTTTGAGTCAGTGTTTAATATTGATAAAGAAAATAGTAGGATTACTTTAGAGTATGGAAAGGATGGATACCTATAGACACCTTAAATACATACAAAGCTCATAGCTGTATGCAAAGCAGTGAATGTTATCCTGTTCCCCCCTCCCCCCAAGCAATGGAAGCTGAATTACATTTGGGCAAAGCATCAGTGTCAGTGAAATGCATGTGGAAGGAAAGGGCACAGAGCCCTGGAAAGGCAGGTGGGAAGGGAGCTGGCATTACACTTCTCACGACTGAAGAGCACAAGGTGTAGGAGATTTGGCCAGTTCAGGTCGCCTATATTTAAAAATTAGCTGTATCACCAATGAAGAATCGTGGACTGCTGCCCCTTCTGACAAATGAAGCAAGAGTTATGAGCAGCAGGGGAGGTTTTTTATTTTAAAGGGTGCCCTAAATCATGATAAATTCCCAAACCTGACCAGCAGGCAGAATAATTTCCAGAGTTCTGGTTAACAAGGAATGTTTTGTGGGATTTTAGCAGATACTCTCCTGTGTTCCCTGCCCAGTCCTCCCTTGCTCTATGCCAGATATCCTAGACAGCTTCCTTGGGATTTGGCACCTGAAGAACCTCTTCTGACTAGGTGGCATGTGGAAGGACTGGAATTGGGTGTTTCAGCAACAGCTGTGAGATATCCTAGTGACTCATGGAAGGTGCAAAGGTGAACAGACTCTCTGGATGCAAATCCACACAAGCTGATGGAATTACTGTGCTGCCCAGCACTGTCACACCTTCAGAGGGAAGAATCCTGTCTTGGGGAGGATACCTGGGAGGCGTCCCAGTGGCCTGGACAGTAAATACCTTGGTGCATGGAAAGGGTCTCACTTATTTGGATGCATCCCCTCACATCTCCTTCACTCTGAGTTTCTCCAAGAAAAGGAGCTGGAGGGAAAACCACTGGCAGGGATTCCCTACCTGCTGTGAGGAAGGTGATGATGAAGCTGACATGGGCTCTCCTGGGGGATGTACCTGAGCCACGAGAAGCCAGCTCTCTTGTCCTGCCATTTAACCTATCTGCAGTGGGACTGTATTCAGATTCACACCCATTTTGGTCTAAAAATAATACAAAAAACTTGGCCCTTTCTCCTCTCTAGAGGAAAAGCCAAACCAAACCAGGAACATGCCTACTTGAAGCTCTGATTTTGCTGGGGATACAGAGGGGGAAGCAATGGCAAAATTGATTGTCTCCAAATAACCATAATTAAAAGGGACAAGACCAGTTCCATTTAAAGTGCTTTGTGGCATCAAACCAACATCAAGTTACGTGTAGAGATGATCACTTCATTTAAAAGAAGCAAAGACCAAGCCCATACAACCTCATCGAGTCTCCCATCCTTTGCTACAGCTACTCTGCTGCTGGGTATTCTGGCACCCCCAGCTAATACTGGCCACTTCTGTACTAGTCTGAGCCCACACTCTCACTTTCCCTGGACACTGAAACCCCTCCTGTTGGGCAGTGGAAAAGACCAAGCCAAGAAAAGCCCAAGAAAATAAAATCTGATTTCTGCCTCCCATGAAACACCAGCACAAACAACTCCAAGAGCCCTCGCAGGATCCTCTTCTCCTCCAACAACATGGGCTTCAAAGAGATGTTTTTTAACCTACGCTGAGTCCCAGGAACTCAATGCAAAACAGGGTGGTTTGGGTGCTCCAAATGGTATCTAGAGACTGGCTCTGGGAACTAGCAACAGGCTGGGCTGAAGAAATAACATTCTTTCAACAACTGCAGGATGGATTCCAGGCATGGAACTGGAGCAAATGCAATTTTAAGGCCAGGAAGAGGAAAGGTTTTGGTGCTGCCAAGCTGGGACCATACTCTAGCAGACAATGCTAGACAACCTTCAGAGATCAGAGCAGGAATCTGACTCTAGGAACCTATGCCAAGCCTTTCCAAAGAAAACCTGAGATGGGAAAAATAAAAGGCTAAAGAGATAAAAACAAGCCCTTACCTTCCTACAGGTGAAAGAAGGAGGAAGCAGTGTGGGAGGAAAGGCTTCATTCCAAAAAAGTGAATCATACAGTAACAGACATCCTCCAGGGACAAAGGTCTGTCCACCAGAATTTAAGACACAAAGAGCTTTGATACACAGGATTTCTGGTCAGTGTATTTCTGACTCACACCTGTGGTTTCTGTCAAGGAACCACATGGACTTTGGGAGATCACTTAGCCAATAGTATCTGCACTTCAGGCACTGAATGCTCTTTTTGATTTGCACAGATCAGGAGAGATGGTGAAGCCAGGTAGACTCAACCCTGCTGCCCTGGGTCACTCATCTGCCTTTTGGTGCCCTTCTCAGAGCCATGGGACGTTGCTGTGTTGTGAATATAGCATGTGCTGGGACTGGGGAAAAGACAGTGGGATAAACTGAAAAGTTCACAGTGGCAAAGGCTGTTCCAGACTGAGGCGAACTCAGACAGACCAGTGCCCTGATCTCTGTTCACACAACAGTAAATGAGCCACGCACTGCTTTGGTTTCCAAAAATTTCAGCTTGGCACAACTTAATTTCTGAAGTTGGTGATTTTCTTATGAAAAAGATAACACCACACTACCAGCACATGCTTCCTTCAGCTCCCCTAGGGTCCAGGAGAGCAACTGGAACCTCACATCACTGCAAGGCACTCCATGCTTTGCTTTTTCCCTTGCCTCCAAAAGGAACGAGAAAACCTAATCAAAATGTTTAAACAAGGAAACTAATTGGCAGGAGGAGCCTTGTCTGAAGTCACTGTGTCTTTTTTCCAGACTTTTTTTGGCTGAAGATGCTCTGCTTTGAAGAAAGCTCTCAGCTGAAATTGTGTGACTTTAGGAATGGAATGAGCTGCAAAGCAGCACTGCCCAACCGCATGGTTTGTAGGAAATAGGGAGATGAGAACATTTGGTTTACCAATCTTTTGGTAAGAAAACAAAACAAATAAACAAACCAAAAAAATAAAGGGGGAAAAAGAGAAAAAAACCTCAAACTATTCCCCAAACAAAAGCAAAAGTAAAAAGAAATAAAAAAATAAAACCAAGTAAACTTTTTTAAAAAACTCTTTCAGATAAAATGAAAGATAAATATTTTTGCAAGCCCTGCTTGCAATTAAGAACAAGCACCAAATAATGTTAAAAAAAAACACAAATAAAAATAAATCTCAACCCTTTTTCCTTTCTTTTTTTTTCTCCTTTTCTTTTGAGTTTTAATAGTGTAGAGAGCTTCCAAAGCAAGCAGGGCTCCTGCATCAAGACAGCCTAGCCCAAGCATCCACCTCACCATCAATGCTGCTGACACTCATTAGCACTAACTCTGAAAACTGCTGCAGGTCACCAGCTCATGACAAGCCTGAGAGCAAACTGAAATCAAACAATAGTACAAGAAGAGAAATTATTTGTTATTTCAAAGAAAAAAAACTGGTAGGAAAGAAAATGCACCTGACAGCTTCAAACTCTTGAGAAAAATCTTGACCTATTTTGAAGCTGGTAACCATTTACAAATCCACTTGGGTAATTCCCCTGGCAGGGTTTGGAATAAAGGTGGTTTTTGAGAAAAGTGTGTCTCGTTGCATTTCTCCTCCCCTGCTGAACACATCCCACTCTACGACTCTACAGACATCCCACAGCTGGCACAGCAAGAGCTGCCCTTGGACCTTCCTGTTCTGCAGGGACACTCCACCCCAGAGGCCATGGGGACACGCCATGCTGGACTCCAGACCTGTCCCACAGGGAGTTTGTTCACCAGAACCTTTTTCTCCCCAAAAATGGTTCCTAAGAGCCAAGTATTGCACAGCCACAGAGATAGGAGCCACGTCCTTGGATCCTGCCCTGCTATGTCTCACTGACCTGCTCAGACACTGCTGCTCTCACTCTGCCTCAGAAACGAGCAGGGCAAGTGAGAAAATCCAGAGAAACAGAAGCCCAACGGTAGTACAAAAAGCAGGCTAAGAAAAACACAAAGAATAGAACAAAGATCCCTAAAAGAAGATTTTCAGCCACCCCCCAACTCAATCATTAGGCTTGTATGGAGATGTCAAATGCAACTGGAGAGCTCTATTCCAGCAAAAACATAATCTTTACGTCAGGGATGGGAGGGAATGAGCTGGAGCTCAGTGAGATTGTGTAAAAAAAAATGTTGCTTACTGTTGTTTCCATTTGAACAGTCTCTTCTGGCTCCCTGGGATTGCCTTACCAGCCCACCAAAATTCTCTTTTCTGTGCCATTTTAAATACACCCAATAATGTTCTCCTTCACTCTGGAAACAGTTTGACATTTGATTCCTCTGCCCCACAGAAATCGCTCAGAATGATTTTAAATTTTTTATCCTCTGAGTTGTTGCTTCTGAATGTTTCCTGGTGTAAGGTACCCTTCTGAAACCAAACAGCCCCTATCTCATGAACACAAAAGGGGTGTGCAGGTCACTGTGTTACAGCCAGAGCAGTAAGGGCAAGATATTTAATATCTACACACTCCCTGAAAGTGGTCAGGTATCATCTATCCCCACGGGTGGACCTTGGCTGTAGGGACTGTAAGCATATCCCAGTGGATACATAGATACATATATGTATATATACAGTATATCTATATATGCCAGTGTGTACGCACCATTTGTAGAGTCCTAATCTTTTGCTAAATGCTTGGTTTTGGTTCTTTTCCCCAGAAAAGGGGAATCTGAAGGCACAGACCTCTTAAGGCTATGTTCTCTCATCCTTTAGCAGTAAGAAGAGACAGACATCTACCCCAACCCGTTTGACCCCAGGTTTGCACAGGGAGAAGGTCCTGTGTGCCATGCGGGCACAGCCTCTGCAGGGAGAATTCACCTAAAACCACAGGAGAGGCCCTTATCCACCACTTAGCAGAGTTCAGAACATGTTTTATTTAAAACCTCCAGATGCTTGTCCAGCGCAGGCACTAGCCACGGGCTGTGTCACAGGCAGGGAGATGTCCACGGTGCCAATGCCACGAGTGACCACTGGAACAGTCTGTGCTCAGCAGAAGATCTCCTCACCCTCTGGAGGTGCTTCTGATGAGTGAGAATCTGTAGCACCAAAAAACATCATGTGGGAATCACTATGGGAACACAGGGACACAGCAGGCAGAGCGGGGCTGTGACAGAAACCCCACTGTCTGCCAAATGCACAGGGCCCCTTAAAAGATGTTCAGTTCCCTGATGAGCTACCATGAAATTACACCTTGTAATGGGTGAGATTTCCTGTGCACAAGCTGGAAAACATCAGTGAGCTAGCATGAATGAAACTGGTCATCTGAGGCCATGTGATCCAATTTCATGTGGGTCAGAGGTTTGAGCTGCAGCTCTGAGTCCTAAGGGGATGCACAACTACCAGACAAAAAAAACCCCTGTATGTTTTTGTTTCAGATCAAGAGACAAAACAGACCAGCTTGAGGGGAAGGGAGTGGCCACCAGAAGGCTTGTGGGTATCACTTCCAAACTGCCACAGAGCTAAAGCAGACATCAATGCCTAAGGAGCTGCTACAGCTCCTTCTGAAAGCACTGACACTGAAGCAGAACATTTTCCTCCTTGAAGCAGAGAATCCAGCCCGTGGAGGCTGCTCAGGATGGGATGGGAAGAAACAATGAGAAGAATGTGTGTCCCTCTAACAACCCCGGGGAGTGCAGAACAGGCAGAAAAGCCCACGCAAGATCACTTCAAGCTGGGAAGTCCACTCAGCACTGCTGCTCTTCCCCATCCCTGTGTCACCATCCTCATTTAAAGCCAGACTTTGTGGCTTCCACACGTTTGCTGGCTGAAGGAAAACAGCCAGCTTACCAATCCTGAAAAAACACCTGTGAGCTCCCCTGACACTCACCAGACTGTTGGGAGCGATGTCCCCTGCCCTTTTTCTTCTTTTCCTTCTTCTCCTTTGGTTTGGCTAAACTGAAGAGGCGAGTAGGCATCTGGGTCTGTTCCTCAGCTGCCTTGTTAGTCTGGTTTGTTGTGCTAAGCAAATGGAAAGTGCTTTTCTCTTTGTGTGTCCTTGAAAGACTGTTCCTTTTGGGGGAGACAGACAGTTCTGCATCAAAGTGCCCTTGTTTAGGAAGGGAAGGGTTCTTCTGCATGGAGGATTCATCAATGCTGGACTGGGAGGAGACTCTTGCAAGTTTCTCATGTAGATTTGAAACCTGGAAAGGAAAAGTGTTTCATGAAAGAGGCTAGCAGAGAACATGGATAGAAAAGGCATGTCCCAGACCACTCACAGAGGTTGTTCTTGTGAACATCCAGCCCATTCACCAGGTAAAACGTTGTCCCCATCTAGGCAAAGTACAGAGAGAAAAGCCCTCTCTGTTCAAAATGAAAAAAAGAGGCATACAAAGAGTAACACTCCACTATCTTTTGCTCCTACATGTACTCTGCTATGTATCAACAAGCCAAGGGCAAATATTCTCTAAGATCTCAATAGCAAGACTCACCTTGCATCGTTTGCACACACAGATGGTGGCAGGAGGCCAAGAAGCAGCGTGCTTCTCTGGGAAGGGAACGCCAGCACACGGCACAGGAGCACCATGTGTCAAAGGAAGCCTTCCCAAGCAAAAGATGAAAGCAAAAGCATTTTTCCTGATTTTTTTTTCCCTAACGGCTGTCTCAGGATGTAATTGAGCTTGCACATTCAAAGGGAAGATCAAAACAAGCCCAACAAAGCTCGACTGAATCCTCTATTAATAGCTCTGCAGTGTCAGTCAGATACCTGCCTTGAGAAGGTGCTTCCTTCTCCTAAATCTCTTTAGGCCTTGCAGGCATTTTACCTCTCAGCCTCTCCCAGAGCATCCATGCCCCTTGTCTACAAGTGCTTGAAGCTGGAACAGCTTCACTGGCTGCTTGGAAAACTTCTGGCTTGATCAAGAGCCAGGTGGGAGGGAGCAGGACCTCCTTTGGTGATTAGCTTTTTAGAGCTCACTTCTCAGTTCCACAATTAGGCAGTTCAGGCATCCAAAATCATTCCCATTCTGCAATCCAACATCTATCGGCTACAGCTCTAAGCAAATTACAGTCAGAATTAGCGAGTTACAAACAAACAAATGATCAACAGGCTTAAGGATTAAATTCAGTCCATGTTTTGCCAATGGTACTGGCTCTCCTTAATCAGACTGCTGTACAGCTGTAAAGGAATAAACCTTAGCTTGCTGAAAAATGCCCAGACCAGGATCTGTGTGTGCGTTTTCATTTGTGGCTGTGAGCACTCAGACACCAGAAGCCTCTTCCAGCAGAGCTGGGGACCTTTGCTCACTGAGCCACAACTGGACTGCAGGTGCTTCTTCTTTTCAGGACCAGGGCAATGCTATCTCTTTGCTGGATATTGAGAATGCTTTTGGAGATGGATGTCAGCATGTGAAAGGCCTTGCCCTGCAGTTATCAGCCTCACAAGTGTTTCTTGTGGAGGTTACCCACAACACTTAGGCTGGTTCTGTGAGGGATGTCCCCTCTGCCTCACCGCTCCCCAGCGCTCAGCCCTCAGGTGACAGCCAACATCAGGCAGTGTGACCCCCTTGGGAGTGCCTGGGGCATCTTCCCTGGGAGCCTGCCACCTCCTCTCTGCCATGCCCCACCACACAGACAGGGAAGTGGGGAGAGCACTGGCTGCCCAGCATTGGCCAGACACCCCCAGTACACCATGAAGAACCAATACTGGCAGTGCCTCAGCAGCTCCAGAAGTGCAAAAAGTGCAGGACTGCCCATCATATGCACAGGAAGGCCAGTTTTAAATACCAATCCCCACATGTGTGGAGCTGGGCTGGCACCGGCTGTGTACCCTGTGAGGGGCATGCAGCTCACCCAGGAGCTGGCTGGGAGCTCCCTGCAGGGCCCAGCTTCCCCAGGAGCCTGGCTGGTGGCATCATTTACCTGGTTGTGGTCAGGCTCCTGCCGCATTTGAGCGAATCGCTCCACGTCCTGCTTCAGCTGCACCTTCTCCCTCTCCAGCTGCTTCTGCGCCGTGCGGAGCCTCTCCAGGTCGAGCTGGTAGGCCGCCTTCTTCACCTGCAGCTCCTCGCGCTCCCGCTCCAGCTCCTGCCGCAGCCTCTGCACCTGCTCCTCGCGCTGGGCCAGCTCGGCCTCGTGCTCTGCCAGGTCCTTCTCCCGCACCTCCCACTCCTTCTCCCTCCTCCGCTTCTCCTCCTCGTGCTGGGTCTGCAACTTCTTCAGGTTGGCCAGCTCCTGGCGCTGCTTCTCCAGGCTGCGCTGCTTCTCCTGCTCCAGCAGCGAGGGGGGCCGCAAGGCGCTTCGGCTCAGAACCCTCTCGTTCAGAGCCAGCTTCTGGTCCTCGATGTAGGTGTCCTGCTGCAGCACCACGCCCTGGGGAGAGCACAGAGAGATCACTGCAGCATCCTCTCTGTGGAGACAGGCCCCTTCCTGAGAACCTCAGGGTGCTGTACTGAACCCCTTCTTCTCCCACCAAACTTGCAGCCCAGCACTGCTGCCTGGTTACCAGAGCACGCTGGCAAAGCATTTCCCTCAGCAGCTTCCCAAATTCAGGCCAGCATTGGTTGCAGGAGCTCATTCCCACAGCCTGCAAGCTGGCCGTGGGGTGTCCAGCCATGCAGGGCTGTGACATGAGAAGGGGAGACAAGAGGCAAAGCACAACTGGCAGCTCAAGCAAGCAGTGTGTGGGAGCAGGATGAAGGGCTAAGCCTACCTGCAAAGCACTGAGCAGCTTATGGAGGCTGGTAATGGTTTGGAGGACCTGCTGCGAGAAAACAGAAGCGTTGCTGTTAGATCTCACTGGGTGCTGGGCACGTGGACAGCACCCTCTCTTGCTCTGTGTTCCACCAGTGGGTCTGACAAGCTGCACAGCCATCTCTCTGCACCCTGCTTTTGCTCACTCTTCCCTTGCAATGACTGCATCAATCCCCAGTACACCAATACAGCCCTTGAATATCTCCCAGAAGTGCCTGGCATCACCCTCCTCTCTTCCCTGTCATTGCAGCAGGGGAAGGGACACCTGCAGAGGCACCTCCTGGCACAGAGCTCATGAGAAGTCCTGGGTTGTCTCTGCAAATCATTTCCCACAGCATCAGCTTGCTCAAGAACACGCTGAGTAATTGAGATGAAGCCCAGAAATTCACTTAAAAATTTCAGGAAAAAAATTTCCAAGGGTGAAAAAAAAAAGGCCATCCTTTAATAGATGTAGACTATTTGTACCCTTCTCCCCCAGGTGACCCATAAAAGACCCATTGCCACCAGGCAGAAAAGCTTCACTACAGCAGGCACACAACTGCAGCAGGTGTGTTCATGGAGGCTTTCTGAAAATACAGAAGTGCAAACACCTCATGCATCAATACAGAGCAAGCTACTTTGGAGTGCTGCCCTATCCCTAAATTTAGCCCAGCTAAAAATTCCTCTGAATCTCTCATATCCTACAATTAATTTCAAGAAGAAAAAAGAGCACTTCAGTATTTTCAGTAGTGAAGTGATAGCCAGTATTAAGAGAACTGCTTCTCATTTTGTCATTAATGCTAATTGGGAGTTATGAATGTGTATCAAAGGGAGAATAGAAATCTAATTGCCCCAATTCACTGCACCTGCAACATAAAATTAAGCTCTCTCTATCTGCAGATGCACAATAAATACAGCCCTGTGCATCCTGGTGGTAATTAACCCTTGCTGCTTATAATCAGCACATATCATCTTGCTGGCAAGCAGATGACAATCAGTGAATTCCCTGTCTAAACATCCAAGGTTAAACAAATAAATGACACAGTGGGTTCAGCTTAATGTATTTAAAAGTCTAGATGTGCTTCAGCAAATTAAATGTGTTTTCTTCTACATTATCACCTATTGAGACAAATTCTCTAGCCATTTAAATGAAGGGAACAGCTGAGCAATGGAATCAATTCTTACCTCGTTATTCCTTTTCAGCATGAACATCAAATTAGCATTTCCACCCTATGACAAGATCACAAATGTATTATGAGGACAATGAAAAATCATAGCAAATGTCTTCTGAAGCTGAACTATTGACATATCCATTAAACATTCCTCTCCACCTTCCATTTCGGGAGAATTCATGCACGTTTTTAGGCCACTTAGAATCATATAGAATAAAATGTTAATTAGGTATTATTTTGCAGTTACGTGATGGATCCATCCTCAGAAAGAAAAGGTGCAAGGTTGTAGCTGACCTTATAATTTCTGTAGCAATGCAAAATTAAACACATGCTTTGTCTGACCTGCAGACAGATGGTAGCTAAACCTGTGCCACTAAGGAGTATACCTGATGTGCAGTGGCTTTCAAGCCAGTGGTTTTGGGTGCTTATTTCACGTTTTATTTTATTTTGTTTTATTTTTAACTTATTAGGATGTACCTAATTATCAAGAAATTTTCGGGCATTTTTCAAGGCTAGAGCTGTCATTCCTGGAATCTGAACTCAGTGGTGGCAGACACACAAACCAAGCTGTACCTTCTTTAAAATGCTGTCTGACTCTGTCCTCCGAAGGTCCTGAGCATCATCGCCTTCATCTTTTGCTCCACCTAAAGGAAGAAGCCAGCATTGACATGGGTTATTCAACATTTTAAGGCAGAGATGAACTTGCTAAAGTCTGAGAAATTTAATACAGGAAACTCACATGTTCCACAAAAGCGGACACAGAGCTCTTGACATTTTAACTAAATGAATTTGAGCCCTAAATATATGGAACACGTCAGCACTACCAGAAAAAGTGGATGTGAATTTAGATTAGGGTTGACTTTGGTTTCAGAGAACGTGCTGATAAATTCAGCACACTGCTATTAACTGGTGCTCTGTCTAGCCCCTGCACTGCTGTCTACTACCACAGAATACTTGCTGAGAAGACATGAGGCAGCATAAGAGCAGATGGAGGATGATAACAGAATCATACCAGGGTATATTATTGCAGGTATAGTTTCAATGCCTCTCTTGTGCAAGGTAATTTGCATCTGGGTCAGATACTGCTGTGCAACACCCTGTGTAATTCTATGCTAACAATTTATCATTAACCTTAGCTATCAGATACCTGGATCTTCAAAGGGACACTGGGCTTTTCTTTCTAACCTCCCCCTGGATGGCTCATATCAGTGCTCCTGAGCAGGACTGAGCTGACCTGTGGGGACAGGAGGGCTCTGACCCTCCCCCTGTGCTGCCCTTCTGCTCAAAAGGAGTCACACAGACCTTCCAGCCTCTAGCTCTTGCCAAAGCTCTTGTATTCCTGTTGTCAGCTGAGATGCAGCCAATGGGGAAAACCCACACCTGCAGTGGCAACCTTCCTTCTGCCACTCTTAAAGATAAATAACTTTTCATAAACATGAATCTGCAGCAGCATGATGGACATCACACCTGATGTGAAGGCCCTCTCCTCCCCCCACCCCCAAGGCTGGCTCTGCTATTAAAGGCTGACCCTGAAGTCCTCCTAACAGACCTGCTCTCCTGCGCCACGTCCTGGGACCTTCCACCTCTCTGCAGGAGGAAACTCCTCCCTTCTGCTTTGCTGGAGGGGAGAACGAAGGGGAGTCAGGTTATAAACCTTGCCCAAGGTTTCACAGGTTGTGAACAGAAGAACTGGAGAGAATGCCAGGTTTCATACCTCCTGGGCAAAACAAACAGGCCCTGCATTCTTTCCCCAAAATCTCCCAAGACCCTACAACTACTGAATTAGAATCAGAGGGTATTTCTACAGAAAACTTAGATCTGGATAACAGTCTGAGGTTGTCCCATTCATCACTGCAACAGAGAGAGGCACAACCCTCAACAAACCCCTCCAGTGTGAGTATATTTGTCATCATGATGACAAGGCCTTTCTCCAGTAGAACTGGGAAAACTCTACATAGTTCTCATGTCTGACTGTCTGGAGCTAACATTGCTCCTTTAATGCAAGAGGTCAGACGAGGTCCAACGATCCCAGTGCTGAGACAGACACTAGCACAGCAAAACTGGTTGTATTGGGAGTGTGAGTGAGACCACAGAGAAAGGAATTTGAGGACAGAGAAGTTTCTGATGACTAGAGCAAAGAAAGAGGGCATTGGGAAGCAGCCAACTATGCAGCTGAAATAAGTAGTCACGCATTTCTTTGGGAGAGACTTAATTGGAGGAATAATACATGCAGATGTAGGTGGAACATAAATGCATAGAGAGCAGAGACAGGGGAGAAGGTGTTTGATTCAGCAATATCCACATCCATTTGTAAATGCAACAGCATCAGGCTCCTGCTGGGAAGAGAAGTGAAGAACAAAGAGCAGACCTGTAGATATTACAATAACAACATGAAGAAACTAATTTATTGAGAAGCCAAATGCTTTCATGTGGCACGTAAGTAAAATAGCAAGTATTACTTAGAGAGAGCACAGAGAGGAGTGAAGAGTTCAGATGTTTAACCCTCACATAGCCACAGGTTCTCAGCTACCATCAATCCACCTGTACATAGGCTTTTTTCCTAATCTCTGATTTAATCTATCAGTTGGAGAGGAGTTGTGAAACCCAAACCACCAGCTGAAGTCCTTCTGAAGCAAGAGGATATGACGATGTGTATTATTAAGAAATTCTGATGTGCACACACAGAACTACTCACCCTTGGAGGCATTCATTTGATGACTGTCAAATCCTCCAAAAGTTTCTGCCCTTCTAGGGAGTGAGATGGGGCCAACTCCTCCCTCCTGATCCATGGCAGTGCTGCTGACCTGCTGTCCGAGGGCAGTGCCCAGGCTCCTGTTCACCAGGTCTTGCAGCAGTTCAACTGAGAAAAAGCAGCAATGTCTTTGTTAAAGCCCCTCTCAGGTTTCTGAGCTATTTTCATCCCTGCCTGAGCTCAGGTCAGAAATTATTTGGTGCATAAAGAATGTAGGTTTCTGTGACAATGATATGAACAGTACACATTGCCCCTGCAAAAACTCACACTGTCTGACCACTAATTCCAATTCTTGGAGCTCTGGACAAGCTTAAACCTCCCTCTCCTCCTTCAGGCAACCTCGATATCCTCTGACAACAACATTTAATAATTTTAGCCTCTACATGGATCATATTGGAAAGTAGCCTGAGTTTCCACCTACCCTTGCCTTTGTCATCAGAACTGCTTGTCCCTTGCAGGCACCACAAGCACCTGCTGGCACCCAAGCCCCACCCTCACATCTTGCTGAGACTGAAGAACAGCAAAAGCCTGGATGGTCCAAATTTCAGCCAAGGATAAATGCCACGCTGCTCCTGATCCCAAAGCAACTTCAGTGTATGGTTTTCTTTGTGCTGACTTTCCTGCCCTCTTTCAACATTCTCCAGTATCTGGTTCCTTTCCTAATCCTCATGACGTGTCCCTGAGACAATACCATGAGGAGCAGTTTCTCTTTATCTTGTTATTCTGACAAAGAGAAGATGTTCCCTGCAAAATTGGTACTTGAGAACTGATGTCTTCACTGAAGGTGACCAATTATAGTTGGTTACTATAATTTACATGTTACATGACTGGCTCACCTTCATTTATTGCAGTTTTCATGATTGCCTCTCCTTTTGGAGCCTCTTCTGTGCTGGCTCTGAAGAGCAGCCTGGAGTCTGGCACCTCCTCCTGCACAGAACTGTCTGCCATGTCCTGGAAGATCTTTGTCTTCTCCTCCAGCAAGAGCAGGATCTGTTTATCCTTCTGCTGAAGTTGTTCTGTGGGGGTGAACAGAAAACAGGGATGAAGACAGAAAATAAAAGCTTTGGCGAGGAAACCTGAGCTATTCCTGAGATACTGGCCCCATCTAGTGGAGCATGACAGTATGTGCTGGGTTTGGCAGCAAGACAGTGCCCTGGGCAATCTGGCACAGCAGGCTCGGAAAATAAATAATGCAAGGAAGGCAAACTGCAAACCAGGACTGCAGTTATTTGCTGGATGCTGGATTGAAAAAAGTCATAGTTCGACCACAAAACCCAGCCCAAAAACTCCCATATATTTTTCCATAATGGCTCCCCAGCTCTTTTCCAGGCAGATTTTACCTTTCAGTCCTCTCAATTTCGCATCAGACAATTTCTTTTCAAACTCAGACTCACAAGGGACTCCTTCATCTTCATCTCTATCCCTGGAGAGGAGACATGGCTCAATTACTATAGGAACACACCCAGGGCACCCCCTGCCTCACAAGAACAGCTGAGTGTCTCACATGGTGTGCATGGTATCCTGGATGATCTGTATCCAGCCGTTGCGCTCTTCTTTGGAGCTGGCATGGACTTCCACCATTTCAGGAACCTGTCCACCCATGCTGATCAGGAACAAAGCCTTCTCTTCATGAGCCACTTCCCGTACAATCAACTTCTTCAGAGAGATCACAGTGGATTTCTGGTCCTTCAGATAGAAATAAATGGGTGAGGAGGGTGACCAGAGCTAGCTCTCACATTCGAACTAGCATTGAAAATGTCCCAATAAACCACAGTGCTACATCTCTCAGGTTTGTAAACATTTTCTGAACATACTGGCTAATAAAAAAAAAAAATCATTTCAGTGGGGTCAAACAAAAGGGATGGGTTTGCTTTCCTCCAACAGTTCTGTAGGAAAAGCAATTTTACCTCACTCCATTTCAAAAAAGAATTAATTTCAAATTGACTTTGCGGTTTTGTAAGCTGTACCATATTTGCTCTGATCTCATTTCCTCTTGACCACACTCTCCCTGTCATTAATATCACAGCTCCTTATACTTGGTGCAGCTTGCTAGCCTGCTTCACACTCAGTGTCTTCACCACCTCTCTCCAGGATAAGGGTCTTGTTTACCAATCCCACAAAACCTCTGCTGTTCTCAGAGGCTCAGAGCTGACTGCTATGTGAGGACCCGTGTGAGGTGATGTTCACAGTGTACTATGGCCTCTGTGTCATCAGCCTGCTGGGTTCCAAAGTCCCCAGGCTGCTGTGTCACCTGCACATGAGTCAGGCTCTTTGTGCACTGTACCACATGCTACAAGTGGGGCGATCTGGCTCACCAGCAGGGCTTGTATGCAAATCAGCTTCCCCTGTGTGGGGCACTGAGCCCGTGCAGAGGGTTGGTGGAACTGGAATAACAAATTATCAGCTTTCAAAATGCTCAAAGAGTGGAAAGGTCACAAGGTTTAGCCAGTCTAGACCATGCCTGGACAGCAGACTCCATTAGGCACTAGGTTTTCTTTAGCAGGTCAGTGTGTCCAGCCCTTTTCAGGGGGACCTACCCTCAAACCTAATCTTTTTGCTCCTGCATATTACAAATATATGTCTCTGACATTTATTTTCAAGCTGTTCTGTTTAATTTACTGCCCTGGCATTTCACCTCACTGCCACCCCACAGCACTCACAATGTATTTGGACATTTCCTTCTGCTGAGGTTCATTTTTACAATGTTTGCATTATCCCCTTGCCCCCTCCCAGCCCAGCCACTGCTCCAGTGTGCACAAACTGCAAAGCACAAGTGTTTTGAGTGGCAGGCAGGTTTTCAAGGCCAATTATCAGCTGTGCCAAGGCGCTGCAGGAAGGGGAGGTGGGGCATGAAGACATGTTTTCCCATCAAAAAGAATCGAGTCTGCTCGGCAAACAAAAATGTTCTGAGCAAGAAAATTAAGTTGTTTAGCAAGCAATTGCTGGCTTTGCTGCATGACACAGCATCATGGGCCTCTCACATAGAAAATAAAAAGAAAAAAAGGTTGAAGCCTTACCAGTGAGGCAAAGACATACTTCTGGTCCTTCTCCTGAAGGAACACGAGCATGTCAGAGAGCAGAACAGCCTGGACTTCTGCAGAAGAAGAAACACAGCAGTGAAATAAAACCATACAAACCATCCCAGAACAGATTTCTTGTAGTAACACCAGTGCTAGGGAGCAGCAAGGCTGGTTTTGCAAATCCTGGAAGCAAGATCAGTTGTCAGGAGGAGCAAAGGCAGTTCCTGGAGATGCCAGATCAGGTTAGCTCTGAACCAAGCTTTGCATTAAGCAGGACACATCAGCACCTGGGCATCCTGCAGGATTTGCTCTCATCCATTGGAGCAGGGGTGCTCCTCTCCAGCCATATGCTCACTACCAGTTAAGACATGGGCATAACAGTGAAAGCCAGAGACATTTATTCAATAGAAGCTCTGTTTTCTCAAACAATCAATATTTCAGCCCTCAAGCAAAATATCTGCACAGGAAGTTTTGGGTTTTATGGTTCTCTTGATGACTGGTTTGCAGGGTGTAAATTATCGTGCAATAACAACATTTGTCAGCTGCAGTTTCTTTCCCAGGAAATACTGATTTCAGGAGCCACCAGTAATTCTGCTCTCAGACAAACACAACTCTGAGGGGAGCCTGAGTGAGACACAGGACCTGGCTTTCTTTCACGGGAGAAGGAAACACAACCTCAAGCCAACAGAGAATTTTAAATCAGTCTTTTCCCAGAGTACATGTAGAGCCTTCCAAGTCTCCTAATAACATATCATAAAACTGCACAGCAACTACCAAGTGTAATGCCCCACCCAGACCCCTCGGTACAAAGAGGTTTTGTGTAATGTACTTGGGAAATCTTGTGACAGAAAGGAAGCAAACCAAAAACTTAAATCATCCCATGGGTAAATCCTTCCAGTCTGTTTTGGGAAGACAGAATCCATTCCAGCTAAAAGAACCACTAAACTTCAAGCAAAGCTGCAAAATGAAATCCAGGCTCTGGGAGGTTTGCAGAAGGTGGGATTTGACTGCCTTTTTCTCTGTTCCATGACTTTGCAAGAGGGGAAATACTTTTGTTTAAACAAAAGTTCTTCCTATAGTTTTCAATGCTCCGTTTCAAATACCACCAAAAAAAACCCTGAATATATGAATGATCTACTCTCTCCCTGGGTCTACAGCCTACCCGCAGGACCTACTTTCCTTGGGAGTTTCCACTACAGACATGTTTGTTCATTTCTATGACTAAGAAATGCAAATGGAGCCTCTGCTTATCACAATTTCACAACAGCAGCAGAACTTGCTTCATCCACCATCTAAAGGCAGTAGTAGTCTCGGGTGTCTAGAAATGATCTGTAAACTTCCTGCTTCCAAAACCTCAAAATAAATCATCCCCCATACGGAATTCCATGTTATCACCACCTCCCTGCACAGCACGGCATCAGGCTCCCAGGCCCCATTCATGCCCACAGACCGTAATTTAATCAGCTAATGCTGCAGGGAGGGAGGGAAGCACAGCCTTCCTGCCAAGCCTGAGGCACAGCCCTGTCTGCTCTTACTGCTACCGTGGTCCCAGCTGAAAGATTCTTTGGGAGATTTAGTGTTCAATTCAGTGGAGTACTTCAGTGCACAGCATCTTAAAAAAACTACTTCCACCTGATAACAAAATGCAACTCAAGAAAACACTGGCCCAACAAGAGGCAGCTGCAGGGACACCAGAGCCTCTCCTGAACAGTTCGTGTCAACAGCTCAAGAGCAACAAATGTCCAGGACATCTCCCTGGATCCCAGTGCAACTGCTGCAGACCTGCTGCAGACCTTGGAGGGAAGGAAAGGCCCAGGAAATTGAGGCTGGGTTCCAGATTTAGCCAGCACAACTCCTGGAAGTGTGGCACAGGCATGGAGATATGACTCTATGCTCTGGGCAACTGCAGCCCAAATCGTGTTCTCGTGGCCCAGAGCATCCCTCAGCAACTCTGCTCCTTGGCTGACACACTGAGGTGTCACTGCCACCCGAGCCCTCAGCAGGCACACAGTCACCAGGAGGAAAAGCAGCTCTCCATCACTCCAGAACCCACACAAGGAACTGGAAATGCAATGGGCAGTGGGGGTACAGCAGGGGAAAGCTGTACAATCTATCAAAGCAGAAGAATAAATCAAAGGTGGAGGCACCAATCTGAGGACTAATCCTACACCCAGAGAAGGTGAGCTGCATCCTTCCACAGCAGAAGGCAGGACACCTTACCTTTTAACCGGCCAGCTGAGTTTTTTAGTGAAACAGGCCCATCTCGGATGAGCTTCCGATGCCTCAAGTCCTCTCTTGCAAACATCTGGCCACTCTTCATCCTCATGATGGACTTGCTGTCTGTCCGGTTGTAAATCTCCCCAAGACGCATTTTCTTTTCATAATTACTGACTTTGCTATTGACTGCAGCAATCACATCTTTAACGAGGTTTAATGACTGAGTCAAGTCTTCATGTTCCACTTCATTTTCTTTAAAAAAGAAACAGAAACATCTTGATTTGACTTTGCCTTTGTGCAGTCTAACTTCCCAATTTTACTTCCTTCCTTCCTCTTCTTCCAAGTTCCCACATTATAACTTTTTAATACTTAAATGACACATTCTTCCCCCTTAGAGAGAGTTTCACAAAACTTTTTACATATACCGGCTGGGAAATATTCCAATATACTTTGCATATAAGACAGCAGAGATGAAATACACAAATTAGCTATATATTTTAGCCAATACCAAAAAAAACCCAAGCTGAGAGATTTTGGAGTCTAGGCATGTTGCTCCATAATTAGGTACAGACAGACTTCTAACAACTAAATTAAGGTACCTAAACAACTAATCCTAAATGGAAGTATGGAACTGAGCTATCTTGTTGCAGTGATGTGAGACAACAGTGACTGGATTAGCTGGTAAGAAAATCTGCTTCAGCTGTAAAGGATCCAAACCTCACACTGGAGGTGTGCTTAGAATAGAGGAACTGGTGCCTACCTTTGGTGTACTGCAGTATCCTTTGTAAAAGGACCGGGTACTTTGTGATTCTCTGTGTTACCAACAAAATACATTCAGGAATCCCAAGACGCCTCACCAGGGAGCTGCTCATTTTTTTCTAAGGAACAAAGATGAAAATTTCAGTTCTGCAGCAAAACACTCCCCTGGAGTGCAGAAAGAACACGTTTTTCCCATTGGCTACATCTGCCCTGCCAGGTCCTACCTTGACAAATGCCTGAAAGCGTTTGTCCTTTGAGTAGAGATCTTTGAAGTAATTGACGGCCTCGTTGTGATGCCCGCAGAATTTGCCGTACGTTTTCTTCATTCGCTCAGCATTCTCCCCGGAGAACTGCAAAGAATGGGACACACAGCTCCAACCTGCACTGAACTCCTGGGCTGACATCCCAGCAGTGGGGCTCTCAGAAGAGCATCCCAGGCTCTCAGAAGAACTTGATGAAATCAAATTAGTCCAAAGCATGCTCGACCATGCAAGCAGATCACTAGAGAGTAAAGAGCTGATCTGGGGACTTCACTGAGCTCACATCTACAGCAAAATCTGTGACTCCACTCACATGGCTTAAAAGCCAACCACAAAAAAAGTCAAGACAGACAAAAAGAAGACAGAAACTGTGGATAAAGAAAAGTAAAACCTGACCCGAGTTAAACGCCAGGTCAGTAACGCAGCCAAGAAACACACTGGGCATATTTTGCTATGAGCTCCTGCCTACACTCCAGTCTTTGGTCAAACTGTTTTGTGCCTGTCAGTGAACACATCTCTTTCCCACAAAATAAACTAAATAAATTTTCAACAGTGGACCTTCCTCTGAAAGAGCAAAAAGTGCTTCAAAAAGCAGAAGCGGAGATTTTTATGTGTGAAGAGTAAAGGTGCCATCAGCTGTGCTTATCTGACAGGCACAAACAGGAGGGAAGGAAAAGCATCTGGCTTCCAGCTGTGTTTTTAGAAATGCAACCATTTTCCAGCACTTACTTGATTCACTAGGATGTCACCTATCCTCCTGATAACAAAGTTCTTTTCACTTTTGTCTGCCAGTGACTCCTTCTTCCTTTCCAGAATCCGCTGGAAAAACTGACTGTGGATGTGCAGCAAGTTTTCCAGGCAGGGAAAGATCTTGTCCACGACTTGCTGGTCATACTGCAGCTCCTTTAACATGGCTGCACTGTACACATCATTCATGATCTTCAGGGTGCGAACGTGGTGCATTTCTGTCTGCATTAGCTCTGGATAGGATGAGGATAAGAGTTCATGGGTTACAGAAATAGAAAAAGCTGCCATTAGAAAGCTTTTCCATAACTGGGCTTCTCTAAGTGGCTTAAGAAAGTTTCACGTCAGGAATTATAACATGAGTCAAGAGTTTAATGTGTGAGAAAAACACAGGGTAAGAGGTGTCCTACAACAGAGAGCTTTGCTGGGGTCTCAACCTTCAACCCTGGTATCTTCTCCTTCCTAACACCTCACTGCCAGCCTCCACATATCCCCTTTTTGCCATACAGGATGGCTCCTGAATCCCTCAGGGAAAGACTTCCTAGTTAGCTGCTTGTGCTGGAACCCAGTTTGAAAGTCATCAGCAGACAAATGAGGAGAGGCAATTTCTGAGGTTTTGTGATGGCTTCTGGATATGTGAAATGCAGAAAGAAAGCTTTCACAAAATACATTACATTTCTAGGAACTTGAAGAATGAGAGTCTGGCTTTTGAGGAAACCAAAGCAATGTTCCTATTCATAAGGCTAAAGGTTCCCAAACCCATGCATATGAGTAGATCAAGGAGCTGTTTACAGTGAAAAGTGAAGGTGGAGATGTCTCACCGTAAATCACATCTTGTCGTTTGACAACATCTTTGTATTGCTGCTGTAGGAACTTGCTGTCCACTACTTGGCTCCAGGACTCTGCCTCCAGCTGCTTGGAATCTAATTCCAGGTCTCCCATGAGCTGTCCTTCATTCATGTCTGCACCTTCACAAAGCAATTTAAGTGCCATTAAGACGTGGGTAACTTGCCCCATTTGAGATTCCTGTCTAATTTATTTAGGTTTAGGCATTGTCAGTCATACCACATACATCACACACATTCTCCTTTACTGACACAAATGATCACATACCATATAAAGACTTGTTCTGAAAAACACTTTTAAAGGTTATTTCCTAGTTTCCTGTTCACCATTTTTACATAGACCAAATTCTAGCTCAGATAATGTATTCCTAATCTGCCATGCAACGACATTGCAGTTAAATAAAAAACCACAACAGAAGAGCAAATGTTTGTCCCTGAGCTAAATTCCAAGTAACTCAACTGTAACTGAAACCTTCTAAATGTTTTTCCATAATTCAATGAGCTACAGAAATTACTATGTGGGGCTTTGTTTTAGTTTATAATACTAATACTCTGAGATTAAAATAAATGGACTTTAATTGTCCATTATAAAAGAAGACAATTGCTGAAAATGGATTTTCTATTTCTCGAAAGCAGCACTGAGACCTTCCTTCTCCTATAAATTTCATGGAGATCTCTTACCTTCATCAACCAGTGACTCCATGGATTCATTAACCCGGCTGATTTTATGTAAAGAGTCTGTTGACTGCGACAGGAATTTCCAAGTGTGTATTAAGCTGTCATCATTCCCAACTCTGCAGAAAAACAGAACACAGAATATTGTTTATGACAAAAACCCAGCCAAATGTACTTTCAGATAAGCAGAATAAATGCATTTTAAATATGAATTGAAAAACAAAGCTAGCACTGCATGATTACCTACAGAAATGTGCTTTTATGAGTTGTTTACTAACTACCCACCGGAGCTCGAGAAGCTGTGAGCACTACAGTTATGAGTGACGGTGCTTTCCATAAAGAACCACTCCTGAGGTTTATAGTTTGGATAACTCCATTCCAGTCACGTCCCATCCCCATTGCCCTTGGAGCAAACAGTGTGAAAAAATGCAACACCAAAGGCTATACAAGAGTCCTTATCACTAGTTCTGAGAAAGATCAGAAAATGGACTATTAAATTCCCCATGACTAGCCAGGACATCGAAACTGCTCAGAATATGCTAGACCCTGCAACTGTCTCACATGTAGAACTGCTCAATGTACAAGTACAGCAGGAACCATAAATTAGATTTTCTTCTATGTTTTCTTCTAATGAATTATATATAATGTGGTCTGAAACCAGGAAGACTACAGCTCTGTCACCCTCTTGTTATGGACAGAAAAGTTAACACTATTCTTGTGTGCTTGCACAGTATCCAGCCCAAGGCAAGGGAATTTCCTCCTAGGAGCCCAGAGCATCCCTGTAAAGTGGTCTTGAATTTACCAGGCCAACACAGCTGGGCTTTTGAACTCCTGCCATGACTAAACTAACTCAGACAATCAGATCCTGCAGAAGACAACTGATGGTATCATACAGAACATGGTTATTTCTCTGTTTGTGATCCCTTTTGTACCTTTAATGCAAGTCACAGCACGTGAACTTATGTGTGTGTGTGTCATCTGATGCTGCCGACATTAAGAAATCCAAATCTTGCTAAAAACAAGTCAGGTGTGCAGGGAGGAACCTTACCCTGCAATGTTCTGTATGGAGACACTTTTGGAGAGTGCAGTGGGCTGCTGTGATCTCCTGCTGCTGAAGGTGGAGGTGACGGTGCTTTCGTCGGGAGTGAGGATTGCGGAGCGCGGGCGCTCCTTGGGCTGCGAGCCTGCAATGGAAGGGTGGGAGAGCAGTCAGCCCGTGCAAACACCTTAACCACTGCTAACTGGCATGATGATGACTTAAAAGGATCCAGACTCTGAAATCCACAGCCTTTTCTTTCTAGAATCATCCACAGGGGATGTCAGCACTTAGAACAGCCATAGAAGGGAAGATCATTGACCCCTATGCAGAACTCACTGCACTATGCTTGAAATACCCAGGTGGGACCTGCAGAAACACACCTGGGAAACTGAATGTAACTGTTTTGATAATTAATTACATGTCCCAATCCACCCTGTTGCCTTTTTATTTCCCTGGGCCCATATAATTCTTGCTATTTCTGGTCAAACTCTTTGAGATAGGTTTCTCTTATCAGTATGTACCACAGAGAAATAATAATCCTAATTTCATTATATCATCACTTACCTTTAACTAATCTGTTTATATTAATTCCAGATTTTTCCTTCTTCAGATGCATTTCTGTTCTCTGGAGCAACACCTCTGAACTTCACGATAAATACAGTGATTATAACTGTATTATATAGTGTGGTTCCATACAAGCTATCATTTATCTTATCAAAGCTTATCACTTAAACTTATCAAATCATGGCCCTATAAAACCAGCCTGGACTACTTCACACCTGTTCTTCATCCTTGGTCACACTGGGTCACTCTGCAGTACAGTGAGTATCTCAGCAAAGCCAGGAACAGTTTGTCAGTATTCCTCCTACTCAAAATTAAACTTTCTATTTTGCCTACTTCAAAGCCCAAGACTATTTAATTAAAACAAAAATAATTGTGTTTTGAATCCTCTCCACTTAATACTCATAGTCGGATTCTTTCCCATGTCAGACACCATGGACATAGGTTGCATCTTCCAGATTTTGTGGCCTTAACAGGTATAGGCATTCCACAAGCTAAACAGACAAGTGATTTTTCTAAATCTGAGATGATTTTACATTTCCTTAAAGCTACACAGACACTTCAGAAGGAGATGAACTCTGTACAACTTCTGAAGTCTCAAATATTGCTTAGCATGCACAGAGGATGCTCTCATCCCTGCTTTGTTAAAAGCTTATTTTTCATAATATCAAGTATCCGTTGTCATACAGTTTAGAACAGCAGACACAGACCACTCCCAAAGCAAAGGGAAAGAAATTGTCTTACTTTTGTTTCTCATGGTTACTGTGGGTAATGAAGAGGTATCATGTGCCTGCAGCATCCCTCTCTGTGGCTGAAAGAAAAATGAAATTCACTTTAATTTCTTCCTCCCGTCTCCCAGAAGGTTGTGCCATATAACTAAAACAAAAAACCTAATTTTTCTCCTGAAGCCTCTCAGTGTATGTATATCTTTAAATATATTTTTATTTTCCCTGAATGAAATGGGCAAAATAACAGATGGAGAAATGTGCAGCAAATATGAAAATGTGAAAGTGATGACAATACTGAAGTGAACTGAAATCGTAATTGCACAAACATGATTTAGCTTGGAGAAGCAGGTTCCTTGCATTTGGGGTAAGCAGGAAATGTGTGTTCCTCATATAAACAGTACATTTAGCAGTTTTCATTATGTGAAAGCTTCACCACCGAGGCTGAAGTTCTTTACAACAAACTGGAAACTTTGTGACATGTGGTAGAAAGTGTTATAAATATATATATTCAGTAGAGTGGACGAAATCTCTTACCTTCATTTTGACCTTTGCACAAGAAGCAAAACTCTCCTTACAGCCTTTATGAACAATTGCATTACAGTCTGTCAAAAAAAACCCAAAACCAAAGAATTAAACAAAACTCCACAGACAACAGGTCAGTTTTTGCTGCTTGTAATCTGAGCTGTAAACTTACACAACTGAGAATTGTAACTTTAAGGCATCACTGTGGTTTACACAAGTAGCTACAAATACTGAGAGAGGCTGCTTTCCAGGATAATTAGCCCTTTGTTTGTTAATAACATTTCCTCATAGAACTTAACAGGAAATTCTGTTTAAAAATCAATGCAAGGTTGAATTGCCAAGGGTCTTAAATTAAACGAAAAAAAGGAGAAAAAAAACCATGATGGCATTATTCCTCTGAAAGTAAGGTAGAAAGCAGAAGACAAAGATAAATCAATTGTAGGGCCAATATTTCTCTGAAAAGACAAATGCTGTTCTCATCAAGACAAGGACTATGAGATCTAAAAGACAGGAAGAGGGCAGGGAAATTCATTTACACAAACTCAGACATCAGGGGTGAGATCTACAGCACAGAAACCAAGTGCTGTACTGCAGGGTTACCAGCAAAGGCAGCAGGAGCAGCATCTGCCAGGGACCATGCTGGAAACTGGACTGAAATTTTGGTCCAAAAGCACCACATTCACCAAGGCAAAGACCATCATGCTTAGACACCACCCTTTGCTGCATATATGCCAGAGCAAAAGCTGGGTTGTTTGGTTTTGGTGGGTTTTTTTAATACTTTGAGTCTGCCTATGATCTCTGCCAGCAGATTTCTGGGAATCAAAGTTTTCAAAGATTATTAAAACTGCCTTTTTTTTTTTTTCCCCATATGAATTGAGAATTGGGTTTCAGGCTTTAACTCTTTTGGCAGATGAAAGATCACAGCTCAAGATGAGTTTCACTAGCTTAGAGAAAAATATTTCCACTCATTCATGACAACACTAACACAGATAATGAACTGTATTTTACATGCATGTTACACTGTAAGTGTGAAATTCTGAATTATTTCTTGAAGCAGAAAAAAAGGAAAAAAATTCTACGTCCAGAATGACAAAATATGCTCATGTTTCTAGAATTTCGTTACATTTGGAATGACTCAATAAAAGCCAGTAATTCGGAATTTTTGACAGAGATAAGTGTAAGGCCATAGGGTGCTGCTAGGCTGACAGTGCCTCACAATTTCCTGTGCAAGAGAAGACAGAACAAAGCAACCTGGAAACTCTTGCAAAACCCACAAGCACTTTAAGTCTTCAGACCAAACAAGAAAGAGGAACATAACCTGCTCCTCTGGTGCATGAACAGAAGCACTGAGACAATTCAGAATCCTGAAATTCACACTCAAGCCTTGAAAGCCTAAAGGCAGCTCTTTAATGTGTACCATTTGGCAAAAAAATTGGATTTTTTGTGTTTAAAAAATCTGGTTGTAGGACTTTATTCCTCCAAATCAACTCTTCAGCAAGCAGGAAGTTCCTCTAACTCCTCTGCGTCACTAGTATTAATAACTAAAACCCTCAAAACCCTATTTGGTGCATCACTGATCATAAAAAAAATAAAAAAAGACAAGGCAGAAAACTATTAAAAATTAGGCTTTTTTCTTGCCCATTTATTTCAGAGCATGCACAATCTTTCAGCATAGAGTAGAAGTTTCAGGAAGCTGGGGGCATTGCTGAAAAGCTGAGACATTGATTTAAAATATCCAGTGCTTTAAAAGGCATTGAAAGTCATCCAGAGGTGAGACAGAGCAGCAGTGGTAGCACCAGCCTACAACAGCACAGGAGTATCAGAGCCTCTGCTGCTGCTCATCCATCATTTCCAAAGCATCTGAGGTTGATTTTAAGATGCAATGGGAGAAAGAACCCCTCGCTGATGTAAGCTCTCAGCTTAGGCCTTCACCAAACATTTTTAAATGACATTTTCTGGCCAATGCAGAAAACTTACAACAACTTTCCATCGTACCTTGAAAACAAAGAAAGAACATCTGTGCTAAAACATACGAGATTGTTGGGTTATTTTAACTCATTAGCATACAGAGCATTAAACTGGGATGTATTTGATTTTCTACATGGCTTCAGAAGCTGCTAAGAAAGTCAAGGGAAAGGCAGAGGATGCATTTGAGAGTTTGTAATTGTTGATGTTTTACATTTCCCATCAGGCTGACACAGAGTATGTCTCAGACAAACAACTCTGCTGAAGTCTCTTCCAGAAACTCAAAAGTGTCATTTGGGATTCAGCTGGCTGCTCCTTCCCCTGCTCACATCCACCAGCAGCAAAGAAGGCTCCAGCCCGGGAGCAGTTCCCACAGTCACTTTGACTCATTGCTAAGCTAGTGGAGTAGAAATGTACTAATAGTGAGGAAAGTCTTTTTCCACTGAGCTATAGTGGGAAAAAATGGGTTCTGTCTGCATATTCTATAGCTTTGGGTTGCTGCATGAACCAAGCAGGATTCTGGTCTCGACCACACAAACCTTATCGAGCTACAGGCATGAGAAACTGTCTGATAAAAAATGAGAACAAAATCCCCAATCTATCAGAAACCCTCAGTGAGGTTCCCCTCCTGCCTGCCCTGTGCTGCACGTCCTTCGCATGCAGACAGGTATTTGTCATTTGACCTGTGATGCAATTTCTTGTTCAAAGGCAGCAGAGGGTCAGTAATTCCTTTTTGGTCCACGTGGTTCCCACTGTGGGCTCACCAAACCCGTATTTCAGAGAACTAAAGCAATACACCACAGATGGGTGGGACATTTTTTCCTCCATTGGAAATAGAAGCCATGATCCAAGCCAGCTGTCCCTGTCCCTGTCCTTTAAAGCACCTCAGCTCCAAGCCACTACATGCAGCTGAAATAACCAAAGTTCTCCTGACGGATAGAGCCCAACATGGGGTAGAAAACCCCACAGCCTGCTGTAATGGCTGAGCTCAGGCTTAGGGAAGAGGTTTCAGGACACTTCCATGCAGCCACGACTCATTTCAGTCCAGTTTCCACAAGGCAACACACTGCTCCATGAATCACTATCTCCAAAGTCTCCCTCCCACCTTACATCCTCCAGAAAGAGGAAAATAAAGCATAAGATTTGCATTTTCCGTGCCAGATTCAATGAAAAATAAAAGGAAGGGGGGGAACCTCCCTGACTTACTTGCACAGTAGTACGAATCCTTATTGAAAGGCTTCATACAGTGGTAGCAGGTTGCTTGGGCTACAACGGAGGTTGCAGTGAAGAGATGTCCATTTAACAGCTTCTTATCTTTTTCCTTCTCCTTGGAATCTTTGTCCTTCTCTTTAGTCTTCTCTTTATCTTTCTCTTTTTCCTGTCGAGAGAGAATGACCAAAAACCTGGTCACTTGGCAGAGTGTAACTCTTGCCTAGTTACAGATTGCTCAGTGTTTGCCTTTGCTCAGTGAGGATATCGACTGAGGTGCACCTGAACAATGGCCATGTGTCTGCACAGCTCTCCCTTAAAAAGCCCCTGTGGAAGTGGATTTACATACTACTGACTCACACCAGTGCAGAAGAGACCGAGTCTGTTCTGTAGACACCTACTTCCTTCTCCCTTTGTTTTATACTTGCTTGGTTTAAGGATTTTACCTCTTTTCTTCTTCTGGGCTCTCATCAGCCTCTTCAGCACTTTAAACATATTGTGTTAAATACAAATACCACATGTAGTTTTTATCAGACTTTCAACACAGCTAATTTTTAAGGCCAAACCATAAAGCTCATGATTTGTAACTGCATTTCTAATGGAGAACACAAGCTCTTCCTTAGTGCCTCTACAGCCTTACTGCCAAAATATTTCCACCTCTGTTTTCCTTCCAGCTAGCAGCTTTTTCAACAGTTACATGCAATCCAAGTAACTACATGAAGTTTTTTGGCAAAATGAATATTTTACAAACTCTCGACCTACAGCACCACAGAAAGGCTGGGGAACAACAGCAACACCATAAAAGACCCTCTCACCTTCCACAAGCCACGACTCGACCTCTGGACTACTCAGCTTTGGAAAGATGACAAGCACAGACAGCTTTTCCAACTTTTTAGCAGAGCTTTTGCTTCTTTTCTATCTCTACCTTAGATAGAAAATACTAAATACTAAAATTTTGAAATATTTTTCCCTGCAGCCTTTCAAGGATTTGGAATTCTTCCAAATAATTTTTTAAAGGAAGCTCCACAGAAAAAACTCTGAATTTGAATTACAACAACTCATCATCTTTCCATGTACCAACTCACAAAATGTTTATGATACGAGTCAACTCCAGGTCTGTACTTTTAACTGCAGATTTCCTGGCATCTGAAAGGGAAGCTTAACCAGAAACTGGCAAAAGCTTCTGTCAGCTTATCTTTGTATTTTGTTATTTATATGCCACGTGCCCTTTGCCTAATATTGTCCCAACCTGAATATCAGGGAGCTGCAGAGCTGCCCATGTGAGCAACTGCCATGAAGTGGCTTAAAGAGGGCTGGAGCTCTGCAGCCACTGCAGGGAAACTGTTGAGCCCTGGAAGAAATCCTCACATAATGAGGAACTCAGCCTAAGGACTCCTCTCCCAACACATCCCAGGCAAAATGCCAGTGCCGGAGTCTCTCCTGCAAAGTGTCATAAACAGAAAGTCTATTTACTGGCCCCAAACGCTGCTTTGTTCTGCACATAAGCAAAACTAGGAGTATTACCATATGGAATAATCCTGTCTGAAGCAGAAAACCTGCCAGAAAGCGTCTGCGTTGCGTCACATCTCCGCCTCCTCTGAGCCCTCAGCTTGGCTCACACCACCCCACAGAAACCTCCACAGCCCCATTTTCCATCTGCTGGGCTGCCCATCTCTAACCATATCCAGTCTGGCAGGATACAGGAACTAAAACTTTAGGCCTGGGCTGGTGGTACCAAATTGATGCTTGGAGTTTTGCTCTACTGCCAAGCCTCTCGAAGCTCCAGGAGAAAAGATCACTCTAAGCTCACGCCAAATCTTGTGACTCTCATGCTGGAAGAAGATTTCCCATCCTGTACTTTAAACCCACCTGAAGTTCCCTGCAAAACCCAGCAATTCTGAAGTCTAATTTTAATTTCAATTAAAGCTGAACGGTACCAGGCAAAACAGGAAAGTGGTGCACCACTCTCAAGGAGGAAACAGCAAACTCCACACAAGAGCTGCCAGCGACTCCACCGAAGGACAAGGTCTCACAATGAGATTTTTTTCAGCTTTCTCTTTTTTCCTGTGGCAGTTACTGGAACTTTATTTAAAGAAGGACTGTAGAAACGAGACTATTTCTGAGCAGTTGGAGCTGCCGGTGAGGTGTGAAGCCCGGCTGGGCCGACGTGCCAGAGCAGACACGGCGCCTGGCACGGCAGCGGCGGATCCCGCGCCCCAGCAGCCACGCAGCTCTTACCTCCCAGTGCTTCAGTCCCACCAGCTTCACTGTGATCTGAGGTACTTCTGAGAATCTGTGCCATTTTATGGACATCCTTCCCCCCGGGGCAGGAGAGCTGCTCCCCAGCAGGAGCTGCTCCCCACTAGCCCATGGCGACGCGGAGGCTGCAGCAGGGCCAGGGCCAGGAGGCTCAGCATGGAGGAGTTGAGCAAAAGGGGGAGGGGCAGGACAATTGCTGACTTCCTCAAAGATGATTTTAGCTGCTTTGCTATTGCTTTCATCTTGCCCTACCTTAGCTTCCACCAGTAAAAAAAAAAAAAAAACGAAACTAAAAACCAAACCCATATGGGCAGAAAAGGATGTGATTAATATTTTACAAGTCACACGTCAATCTAAGACCACCTATTTTAAAGGCAGAGGGGAGTAAATCAAACACGCTGTGTTTGGGGTACAGAAAAAGTGAATTTTAAATACCTCAGTGTTGCTATGTAGTACTTCAGCAAACAAAGTGATGCAGAAGTTGCCCAGACAGAGAGGTTTTGTGTGTTGGAGCTCCTCCCGCTCTGCAGGTCGCATATATTCCCTGTCTCCTAATCCTTTCAAACACTTGTAACTCCTACCATATACCCTGAAATGCTGCTGCTGGCACAGCACTGCCTTATTACTGTGCAAGGCAATGAAAAAGAGAAATTACTCATGCTAATTGTTTTAATTTCTCAGAAACTCTCGACCAAAATGAAAAAAAAAGAACAACAAAGAGGGTTCCTTCATGAGCTGACAAAGATAGAGCATGCTTAAGACTTCAGAAAGGTGAATCAGGGCACTCTGCTAATAGCAAGAGATTCACTGATAATCCCAAATAACCTCAAGTACATGCCAGGCAGGGGTAAATTTACACCAACTTCTATCAGTATCCACTCCAGTTAATGCCCTAAATACCACTTTATTTTTAAGGTTTTTTTACATAACTCTCTGCATTTTCCAGAAGAGCTATTGCTGTTAGTAGGCTCAGATGTTCTTTATTTTACTTTATTTCATCTGAGAAAACTGCATTTCTGAAGGTCTGCAGACAAGTAAAATCAAGCTGGAAAGACACTGAAGCCTTGCTCCCTCCTGATAGCTCAGAAACCAACTTCCTGTGTCAAACTTCCTCTTTCAGGGTTTGCTGGTTTTCTTTTTAACTCTTACAGGTTTTTCTCATCTATAATGCTTCTGAGAAATCAGAGTTCCAACGAATGTTTTGGTAAAATTATTTAAATGTACCAGTGGAGCCTTAAAAATGTACATAATGCAAACATTCCACTGTGAGCAGACAAGAAAATGTAACTTGGATGGTATTTTGGCTTTAATTTAGTAAAAGTATGAGAGTTGATATGAGCTGCAATTTTTGTAGTGCATGTTATGGTTGAGAGTTTGGAGTAACTCTTTATCAACACTTTCAGATACAATCATGAAATTAGTGAAATCAAACTGCACTGAGCAAATATCTAAAAGCACTGCTGTTTTATTTTCTGCCCCAACCAGACCTCTTACCTCTCTTTCCAGTTCTTGCTTTAGAGATTATTCACATGAAGTGCAAGAACCAGTTAATGAACTTCCATTCTCACTCACAGTCTGTACAAAAAGCTCCTGAACTTCTCACTGGTGTTTGCACAGAGGTTTCTATGTAAACAGATTTGCTTTTCAACACTGTACTTTGCAGCAGGGAAGAGAACTGTCCTAAAGCTGCTCAGCAGCAGCTCTGAGCCACTGGCATTTGTGGCCATCTTGAAAAACAGATCAGTAAAAACTGATAAACTGTGTGTCATCACACCTCTCAAGGGCCTTCCAACAGTATTTATCAACACATTAATTACACATCACCTAACGAGAGAGTAAAGTGCTCTGAGCTTCTGTCAGAGAGATGAATCGAGGTGAGATTCAAGCAAAAACATCCAACCAAGCCAAGAAAATCCCCAAACATATATTAACCTTCAAGGGACAATCTAAAGCAACAAAAGGCCATTTGTGTGAAGTATTTAGCACTAATGTAATTATATCTGTAATCAATGCTGTTCCCAGGAAATTCAGCTGTTGAGCAGGGCATAACTTTCAGCAATTTAAATTCCAAACTTTCAAGGATGGAAAAATATAAATATTGGCCATCACTAAAAGTCACTGTTTGAGCAACTTCTCCTACAGTGCACAGGAACTTTGTGGCAAAAGTAAAAAAATGATAAAAAGACAATACAGCCTTCGGCAGCCAGTCCCTTCTTACAATTCCTGTCCTTGTTTTATTTAACACCTCTCAGGTTTTGTAAAAATGAGACTCATTAATCATTACAAAGCCCTAACTCATGCCAGGGCAAAATTTATTCTCTCTGGGGAAATGAGTGAAAATATAGAATCATAAAGGCTGGAAGAGACCTTCAAGATCATCCAGTCCAACTGTCCACCCAGCACCATCACTGTGGCCCAAATCTAGGACCCTGCACTTGGCCTTACTGAGCCTCAAGTTATCCTTAGGCTCAGTTTTGGGGTGCTAAGATTTCCCATGGAGCAAGTTCCTATCAATCCACAGACATTCCTGTCCTTACAAAAAAAAAAAAAAAAAAAAAAAAGAAAAGAAAAGAAAGAAAGAAAGTAAAAGAAAGTAAAGAAAAGAAACCCAGGCAAAGACTCAAACACAGAACTCATCTCTGCTGCCTAGGGGCATTCCACAAATCACAAGAAGCACTTACTTTGCTCTTCTTGCTGCTGGACATTTTATTCCTGAGGTAGCTGAAGGTGCGGCTGACTTTTGTTACACCTTTACCAGCAGGGACACTGCTGCTCTCTTCAGATATGCTAAAATAATAAAAAAAAAAGATAAAAGTTGCTTTTATTTTTTGCCTTCCCAAAGCATCTGTTAAATGGATAGATTCTTTTTAAAGGACAAATGCATTTATTAGCCAATAAAGTCTAGGTGCTTTATGGTGTTTTACCAGAGAAGGAAAAGTGAAGACAAAATGCTAATCCACTCATTTTGAGATAAATTTCAAGGAACCCTCACATCTGTTTTGAAGCAGCCATGCCATAGCACCCTCTGCTGCTCCCCTTGTCAAACAATCAGGAACCATTAATGCTGCAAGGAACCATTTCCTTCCAGAGAAAGGCATCTAATGAACTCTGAAATTAATGTTTTTAACAGAAATCATACTGTCAGCAAAGCCTCCCCTGAGAAATGAGAATACCAATATTAATTAATAAACCACAATGGTTATGTGTATTAATTTAGGAATTTTTAGGATTTTTTTAGGAATTTTTAGAATCCCAGATAATTTTTGCCAGTCTTTACATGCACAAGCTTATGACTTCTTCAGCTATGACAGAAGAATAAGGAAACTATTATTGCATTAAAAGACATAGTCTGTCAATATTAAATACAACAAAACCAAAAGCAGAACGGAAATACAAATTAAATCAAGGAGGAGAAGACAGCAGTGAGCAGAGGTGAAGAGCCTCCAGGTCACAAAATAAAGCCCAAGCTGTCAGTGGCACAGAGACCAGACACCCAGTGCCACTAAAGTTCTTCCTCCAGGGAAGCACTTTGGAAGCCAGCAGGAAGATTATCTCTGTGCAACTTGCAAGGATGAAAAGTAACATACAAAAACACGAGAGAGAGATAGAGAGAATTAGCCACAGGGAGAAAGCACCACTTTTAGTGTAAAATACAACTCAGGGTAAACTGATACCCTGCAATAATGCATAATCTGATGTTATTAGCTATGACTAAACAGAGCCTTGTTAAAAGATGAGACTTAGAACAGACTTTCATATTCTGTGATCGAAAACATTCTTCAGCCTTTAGAGATACACGATGGATTTTCACAAGTTCAGACTTCAGCTGAAGTGCAATGGTGCCAGGAAGGTTTTTGGGTATCCAAGGCAGAGCCCACAGCAGGAGTGCCCCCAGAAGAGACAGAGTGTCCCCAGGATAGGGTGTCCCCAGAAGAAACAGGGTGTCCCCAGGATAGGGTGCCTCCAGGACAGGGTGTCCCCAGGACAGGATGTCCCCAGGACAGGGTGTCCCCAGGACAGGGTGTCCCCAGGATAGGGTGTCCCCAGAAGAAACAGGGTGTCCCCAGGACAGGGTGTCCCCAGGACAGGGTGTCCCCAGGACAGGATGTTCCCAGGATAGGGTGTCCCCAGGACAGGGTGTCCCCAGGATAGGGTGTCCCCAGGATACTGTACCTCTGCACCGAGGAGCCCATGGAGCCGCCGAACGACTGCGTGCCTGCAAAAGATGGGAGGGGCAGGGGGGGACAGGTTAGACTGCAGCCTTAGCCCACTGACTTCAAAAAACATAGTTTGAATATTGAGATGGCTCAAGAGGAAAGGGAAATGTCTTCCAGAAGTGGGTGTTTACAACAGACTTCATGTGCTCAGGATAAAGCCTGTTCCCTGCATCCTTAGCTGCTCTCGAATTAGATGCTGAGGTGAAAGCCTGTTTAGTTTTTTACCACTCTTCAGCTATTAAGTAAAGACCATGCAACTGTTAAATTTGCTGGTAAATCAGAGTGTCTGAATCAGAACTGCCAATTCAATGACAGTAGGTATAAATGAGAATCATTCTGACACAATGCTTTTATTTATACTGCACTAGAAAGGATCTATTGTACAGCACATCCGGGTTTCATGTATAAAACTTTTCTCCTTGATAAAATTGTAGTTCATTTTCCCATCAAAATCCTGAGGCACTTCATAAAGAGTAAGGGAAACAAGGGAAGCCTTATTCTGTTTTCCACAAAACGTTACCAGCCTGGGGCTTCGTCACGAAACACTGCTTGAGGAAAGGCTGAATTTCAACACGAAGCTGAAGCCCTGCCAGTGGCACCAACTCTCTTTACACAAGAAACCTGCTTGCACAACGCATTTGGAGCAGATCTGGGAGCTGACACCATTTACCAGAACCATCGAAGAACACTAAAAAATCAGGATGAAATGATCCAGGACAGAGGGCTCTCTCTGAAACAACTGGGCTTGCCAAGATTCAAAAAAAATCTTCATACAAGCACTGTTTGCAGCCCTATCTGAAGTTCAAGAAGCAGCATGACTGTCACCTTACTAGGCTTCCCATATATGCCACAAGAGAAACAGTATTTTGGCTCAAATTCTCTTAAGGCTAAGGGTGAATGCAGAAGAACTACTTGCCATTGAGGAAAAGATGGCCCTTAATCCAAAAGCAGTAAGAGCATTAGGAAAAACTGTGCATACAATACTAGCCTTTAAATACAGATTTTCTAACCACTGATTCAAGTGCCAACCGAGTCTGAGACAGAAATATCATTTCTTCATATTGAGAAACTAAAATACAGGCATACCCTGTTACCTAAACCCTGCTTGGAGAGCTGTGTTAATATTTCCCTTGCAAAATCTTTCACCTCATTAATGATTTATCCCAAATACACCAAAGTCAGTAATACTGTAACATGCAAGAAATGAAGTCTACTATTCAATTTCCAATAGTGATATTATATTTTTATAATATAAAACTACCTAAGTGCCTAATAGGATCACATAAGTAATTTACAGACTCTGAAAACCTTGGTTAAAGCTCCAGTAATTCTGGTTCGTGTTTCAGTTCTAGTTTGCTTTTAATCTGGGTTAGTCTTTCCTTCTTTTTAGAAGATTCATCAGTTTGACTGGATTTAGGTATTTCACAAATCTTTTTGATTCTTTGCAGTTAACATCAGAAATGTGAACAAATGCTGAATCATGAGCTGCAATAATTTGGTATTTGTGACTGTTTTTCACTACCTTGAGAAAATACACTGCATGAGAACTATAATTATGTATCATTTATCTTTTACTTCAATAGTTGTTTCATCTTAAAAATGGGGGCTCTTGGTACTGGCAGGCAAAATGGATCCAGTGAAAATTTAAGGTCTGTTGATGATTTCATATTTTAGATTATAATATAACATCACATGATCAACACTGCTGCAAGCTGTAAACCCCAGGAAGATAAGCAGAGAGAAAGACACATCTCCTCATCTTCTGGTTTGTTTCTGAAATAGAACAGGGGAAGGAAAGCTTATTTTCATAATGTTTTTGTTCCCTGTCATGACCAGGAGCAAAACTGAAATGTGACTTCAAGATCCACAAAAAATTAAGTTTTTGTTTCAGAAGGCATAACTGCTATCTATGTCCAATGAACCTGGGGTAGCAACCAAAATTTGCTGTATTTATCTGAACACCTTTTAAGCACCACCCACAAAAAATAATTGATATGGTAGCTGGACTTGAAATAATTCATCAAGATCCATTATGCAGAAAGTAGTGACTGGACTAGGATGTTGAAACCAGCTTGCAATGCCTTAATGCTGTCAGTAATTAAACTTTTGTGGGCCAAGAAATCCAAAGGTTTCATAATTATTGACCAGCCTTCTGAAATCCATGTCTTAAATATATCACCAAACAAACTTCAACTAATTCTCCATTTTCTAAAGAAAAAACAGGCATGGAGAGGTTGAAGATTGGTAGCTGCAATGCACGTGCAATTTCAGTGTTCACACATCCATCCTCTTATGAGAAATGAACCCTAAAGATGTGAAAAAACAAACGAGTCTGGGATTGCTCCATGAAAAGTGCCCCTTGCCTAAGCAGTCTCAGAAAGAGCTGTGGCTAAACCAACCTTTATAAAGTCACCACAGTATCCTCAAACATGTAAAGAAAATAATATCTGACATTATCTTGAATGATCATCATTAACAGGAACACTGTGGAGGGAGAGAAGATAAATCTAATCACTGACTACTAAAAATATCCTCTAAAATTGTCATACCCTAACATGAATATCAGGTATTGGGTGCTTAGAATAAAAAACAAAAAATAAATAATAATAAAATAACCCAAATGCTTAAAAGAACAGAACTCACCAAACAAATAAACAAACAAATAAACCCCCACCAAGAAGTTTACCTAAGGATATTTTTCACTGTGAGGCATCATATGAATGCACAGCTGTGTCTTTTTGCAGTTCACTTTGCAGGGACCATGAACTGTGAGTTTTGTAAAAGCAGAAGAAAAGGACAGAGCAACGAGGAAGGAGCTTAAATATGGAAGTGGGTAATATCACACCTGAGACAGGACTTTCCTGAAGGAAGGGATAAAGCCACAGTGAAGACCAGGAATGGAAAGGGGGAGAATTTCAATATGTACAACGTGGATGGTGTGGAGATTGTTTTAAACTCAGGAAACAACCAAAATCTGTTGGACTGGAAAGCAATTTCCCCCATCCCAGTACGGACACAAGGAATGTGTGTGGTTTATTCCAACAGTCTAATAAAACATGCTTAAGAAATAGGAAGCATTTTGAATAATCTCTGGTAAGCCTATATAGAAAAACCAAAAGGAATCTGAATTACTTTGATTCAATCTTCTACCTTAGTTGGGCTTCTTTTAGCAAAGGAGTTTGCAGGAGAAAAAAAAGCTGCCAGAGAACTCTCACCTGTTTCCCACAGAACTGTTTTGATAACAATATCAGGACCTAGATATGAACACCTTGAGGATTTCGGATCTTTGACTGCAATTTGTGCTTTTTGCTTAGAGGGGGAACTGTGAAGTTGCTGTGAAGATTTTTAGAATTTAATAATCAGGGCTTCTGTCCACTTCTCCTCCACTGAGCAATGCACTCACTGTCACCTGTGGAGGGCAAGGATGTTCTTCTTCTGCTAACTCCATGCCCTGCAACAAGCTCAAGGCAAGTATTTTGGTTTTAGTAAAAAGGTAAAGATTATTTTGCTGCTCAGAGTGGCAGGTGATGATATCTGCCACAGGGATACAGACTAACACTAACCAGATAAGATGTGATGGTGCTGATGTGAAGATTCTTCAGATAATAATCCTTTAAATTCTGTCATTGGTCAGTACTCAGATACAGGACTAAGATAATGCTATTAGACACCAGGCAATGGAAAGGGCAGCTCAGTGTTTGCAAGGTGAAATTCCGGAGTCTGAAGCAGAAAACCAGATTTCCCTGTGTTTCCACCCATTATGGCTGCAATGCACAGAAAATGATTACTTACTATCCAACTCCTCCTCCTCATCACTGGAAGAAGAGCCAATAGAAAAGAGAGTTTTAGACTTAGGAATGAGTGGAGAGATGCTGAAGGAGAAGGAGATTCGTCTCGATGGTCGAGTCCGGCCCTGGGCTGAGAAGTGGGTTAACAGCAGACATTAGAGCATGCTTGAAAATGCATTTAATAATAAAAAGGAGAGGAAAGCAGCCAAAGCAAACTAAAAGCAAAGCAAAGGAAATGTCTGCAAAGCAGCTGGCTCCAGAAAGGCCCAAGAAATAAAGACCTGAGAATGTGCAAATTCCAGAGGGTGCAGGTTTCAGAGGGCACAGGTCTCACAGCATGCACAGCTCGAGGCTCAAGTCTTTCCCTACTTTTGATAACATTTTTTAATAGGATCTCTGACTGAAGAATTATAGGCAGTTATCTTTTCAAAGAGAATACCAACAACAAAATGGATCTCTGGATAAAGGGCATCAGCTTCACTGAAAGAACTCAAACTAGACTCAAACTAGAAGAACTGAAGGTATCTGTTTGAAGGTGCTTTCTGCAATTAAATGATGCAGCAAAGCCACCAAATATTAGCAAGGACAATTTATCTTAAGTGTTGACTTTATCTACATGGGTAGGTTCTTGACACTTCAATGTCTAAAAAAAATCAACAATGTTGATAATGTTATGCCCTTCAAAATTTTCAGCTTTAAAAAGGAGACACTTAAACTTCCCCTCTCTTCTTCCAACATAAAACAGAAAAAACAAGCATCTTTTCTGCCTTCTAAAATTTAAGAGTCTTTGTTTTAAAGAAACTGCCTAAACATGAGAAAAGTCCCACGACATCCTCTTCTGCCCTTGCCTGTAAGATGCCTACCAAACATAGTGCCCAACTCAGCCATCAGTCTGTGACATCAAATTTCCCATCATTTATTTTTATGAGCAGCCCTTGCACAGCAGTAGCTGTGCAACAATTCTTTGTAAGTACATGGTGTCTGAAAAGAGAATTAGGAGCCAGCTAGCCATTTTTTACTGAAACTGGATTCCTAAAGGCCCTATTTCCCAAACCTTCTCTTCATACAAGCACAGGTGGAAAGCTCTGAGCTGTGAGCTGTGCTGGACACCACTGCTCACATGGTACATCCGTGTGTCCTCAGGAAAGGTGACTGGGACAGGGCTGAGGAAACCCTGCCCCTGGGACAGCTCTGACCTAAGGGTCCGACTTAAGCACCTGCATGAAACATCTTCAGCACAGCTATTCAGGTATTCTGAAGTCATTCCCTGGATACATCAATTCACTTGCAGAACAGGCTAAAAACTTTATCAGTATTAAACTTCCAAGAGAAAGACAAAACTATTTCTCTCTTTGAATAAAACACGTCCTTTCAGCCACATACAATGAGGGTTTTTTGCATGGCTGGTATCATACATCAAAACTGAATTCAGAATATAAAAACACTGTCCAAGGAATAGCCAATGCTATGCAAGCAATGCAAAACAAACTCCCCTGAACACTTCCTCCAGCCATTAGTCACAAATGCCAATTGCCTAAAGGCAATTTGACTAAAATATTCAGTTTTCCAAGTAAGAAATAACCCCAGAGGGACCCATTGAAAGGTATTTAAATGGAAGAATTTTTAGGAAGACCCACGTATTAGTTTTGTTTAGACTGCCTTTTGAAGGAGTTGTTCTAGTGTTCCAGACCTGAAGAACACAATTAGGCAACAAGAATTTTTCCTCTGTAGTCTACTGTCTATTTAGACTAAAAGTCAAGATGAACAATAATACTTTACTGTAAATTGAATCACCTTTGCCAGCACAGCTCAACTTCCATTTCAGTGGTTTTATTTATAGCAATTCCTGGCTTTATAACTGTGCTCCACACTGGAAATTTGCTATTCCAAGGCTAAAAGCATTCTTCCGAGCTCTCCAGCCAACAGCTCTTGTGACCTCCCTCCATAAAATGCTAAAGGATTAACATTGTGAATGGCCACAGCAGCTCTTGGAACATCTGGCACATCAGATGGAGTGTGGGCTAGGAACTCAAGTCTTGGAAATTGCTCCTCCTTCAGCACATATGACAATAAACAGTAAAAATAATAGAAAACCCTCCATATGTATATTAATCTGGATTTAGTTATTAAAGTTCTTGAGCACAGCATGTTGCTTTGTTCCCATTCAGAAACATTTGCAGGGATCAAAGGGTCATTTTTTTTTTTAACACCTACCACAAAATTATGCAAGTGGAATAAAGAACTGAATTCGTTGTAGAATTCATTTCCATGTTATTCTTGCATAATTCTTAAGTGTCCTGCTGGAAAAAACATGAACCTCGAACCCAGGTGACACAAGGGAGTTTATACACCAAGACCTCCTGCTTCACATATCCTATGGTCACAATTCAAACAACACTGTTCCTCTTTCAAAGGGGAAGAATGAAGCAGAATAATAGAATGGTGTTGGTTGGAAAGGACTTTAAAACTCATCCAGTTCCAGCCCTCTGCCATGGGCAGGGACACCTTCCACTAAGGCAGGCTACCCCAAGTCTCCTCCAGCCTGGCCTTGAACACTTCCAGGAATGGGGCAGCCACAACTTTTCTGGGTGATTTACCAAAGTCTCTGTGGTCAAGAAGGTGTCAGGATTGGGAAAAAAATCCAGGAGCTAAATTTTTCAAGTGATTATTCCTTTTGGATGCTCACATCAACCCCTCAAATGCTCTGATTTTCAAAACCCACCTTTTACCCATGTAAAAATGTGGCCCTATTGAGATGTCACAAATTAATGACTGAGAAAATAAAGCTCACAGGAATGTCAGTAATGTTTACATTCAGTGTCCCAAACTCACACACATCTGCCTCAAAGCACCAGACTAACCCTGCTACTTTGCCCACAGCCCCTCTGGAGAGGTTACTACATCTTCTCTTCCTTCTTTCTCCAGGGACCAGGGTGGCCATGCAAAGCCTCCATGGCATTTTTAACACCAGGACACAGGATATTTTAACAGCCTCAGCCATCCAGGCTCCCTCAGCCACCAATAGTTCATTTTTGGGGAGCCAGCCAAGTTTTAGGTGTTTGGTCAGGGGCTGGGTGCAATGCCAAGAAATTGGTTGCCTCAAAAATCCACAATGAAGACCTTCAGCCCAAGGAGGGAAGAGGCAGTGCCATCACACAGGGCAGGATCTGGTCTCTTCATGGGACAGAGCTGCCCCATTTGGTTACTGGTGCTGGGGGACACATTCACATTCTTATTAATCATGGAATTATCACGGTGAAAAATTTAAAACCATCTCCTACAAAGCTCAATCCCTGTAAGCTTCCTTCAGCAAGCCTCCCCCATGGAAACACCTTTCTTAAAGCACCTTGTTGTGCTTTGCAAGGGAGAATCATGGCAATAAAGAGGAAATATCAGACACCATCACCAATTGGCAAGAGCTAAAATGTCAATAGGGCTTCTGGCTGGCAATTAATAAAATGAAAACATGTGTAATACATCCAAAGCACATCCAGATGCAGCCCTCTGAATGACTTTTTCAGCTGAAAGAATCAATTCAGCCAAGTTGCAAAATTAAATGCTTCAATTAAGCTAAACCGGAAAATTTTATAGAATCATCTTTTATTATTTTCTTCAGAAATGAGATTCATTAAATTACACCCAACTGCTCCAAAATATTTAACTCAAAATGAATAGCAACAAACTCCCTCAAGGAGATCAAGACATGGATTCTCAAGTTTCCATGTATTACGTAAAAAAACCTAGATGGAGGGAAGTAAAATCTCAAGTGGAATTTACCTGACATCAAAGGAAGAAACTCTGAAAGGTGGAAGGATGCAAAATTAGATCCTCTTTTTTTTTTAAGTTAACAAACTCAATAAATCATACTTTTCATACTAGCAGTCTAATTTAGAAAGAAAAAAGCAACCTGCACAAAGGAAACCTAACAGAAAGCAAACAGCAGGGATACATTGGGAAGAACAGAACTAAACTGAATGAGTTCTGCCTCTCCACCCACAATTCCATGCAGCAGTGAAACATGTACTTCATGTAATAAAGGAAGCATGAGCGGGCAGTAGCACATTTTGCCTTGGGAAGGTAGCAAGATATACTCAATTATACAGATGACAGAGTGGATAAGGGAAAACTGGATTACTCACTGTCGAGCACTGGTTTGCTAATTGACATTAGAGACATGGATTTGGTCAGTGGAGACGAAACAGCAGAAGAACAGAAGTTGAATCCTTGTGGCTGTGATGTCTGATGCACCTGCAGAACAGAACAGAACCACCCTGAGTATGTCAAGAATGACAGAATCATCCCAGCTTCAGTACTTGTGTTTACTCCAACTTTCACTTTGAAACAGTGAACAGGTGAAATACAGCTTTTTTTTTTGTCTTTTAAGTGCCAGACAACTAATTATGAAACAGAGAGACTAGGTGTGCTTGATTTTCTTGCAAGACATTACAAACAGATATTGTTAAAACTCTCTGGTGGCCATGGAAATTGGTGTTGTGACTCCAGCTCAGCAGAACTAGATTGTGGTTCAACATGATAAAAAAATCCGATGCTTTAGCAGTGTGTTCCCCAAAAATGCCATTCCTCTAAACAAGAGAAGACACAAGAGTTGTGCTGCCACAAAGAATGAAGCAGAAAATTTAAAAGAGTTGGAGATTCCTCCATGTTAAAGACGGAGGATTTTTAATATCATGTATATGTATATATAAGGTGGTTGTCAGGCTGTCACTTGGGAAAATGACTTCCAAAATGTTGATGTAACATTTCCCAGACATCCAACAGTAGCTGGACAGCTTTACCTGGTGGTTGTAGTCTCTGATTTCTCCTTGCTCCATCTCCTCAGTGAGCAGGACCAGGGACTGATTGCTGGCAAGTGGACTCCTCCTGAGGTCCTTGGAGCTCAGAGAAGAAGCCTCCAGGTTTGCAGAGGGCTTCTTGTTCTCACCAGAGTCTCCAGTCAGGCCTTCGAGGCTGTAACTAAAGAGAGAGCACAGAGGTCAGATGCTGCCAAACCCTTAGGGACCAGTGTCTTTCAGCACAGAGCACCTGCACACATAAAACACACAGCAGGCACTGAGGAGTGCAGGCAAATGCAGGTGTGACTCCTCAGCACGTTCTTTTTCCTTCAGAGCAAACAGCAACATCTCTGTGCTTCTAATGAGACATAAGGGTTTGTTCGTTGTTTGAATAACCATTGAAATTCCTGGTCAATCACCTTTCCTACGTTTTTTTTTACTCTTTTTGAGTGGAGCACAGGAAAATCCAGAAACACCCCTTCTAAAGATTTTGGCATTTCCACGTATTCTTTTTTCTAGCTTTTTATTAGGCCCTCCCTTGGAATAAAGCCACCCAAATCAAACTACCTTGCATAGCATGGTGCTGCCTGTCCTGGACCAATACTCCTCCACATCAGCTGCTGTAACACTCACCTCTGCAGCCACATCCTCTGAATCTATTTTAAATCTTCACACTGCACAGTTTTGGCACTGATAATGTAATTTATTCTGCCAAAGCTGGTTTCTTTTTTACCCATGCTGTGGTTTTGTTTTTAAATTCAATAAATGTTGTCTCCATCACTCAATCAATTTTATTTTATCATCTACTGAGGAAGCTAGGTCTTGCCCAGCACAGCTGGGCAATAACTCAAAGCTAAATAAAATACTAAACTTTTGCTTGCAGAATTGAATTTTAGAAATAAACATTTGTCCAAACTCTGTAGAGACAGGTGCTGATAGACAAGTGACCTCTACAGAAAAACACAAATACACTCTCCTCTCAGCTACACAAAACACACCCTGTCTCACATGGGACTATTTAATTTAATAAATCATGACCTAATATTCTGTTTCTGACCCTCCTACTCCTCGTGCCCAAGCAGCAACAAATCTGCTGAAATGCCACTGTGGAGTCACTGGGTGAAGATTTACAGATTCCCCTCCCAGGACACAAGCACAGGTCCATGGCTAATGTTTGATTTGATACTCACTAAATCTCAGCCCTAGCCTGGATTTACATCCCAACCTAAGGCTAATCATGACATCTCAGTGGAGAACAAGCTGACATGTAAACACATGAAAAAGAAAACATACTACAGGCTGTACAAATGATTTAAACAACTACAGGAGAGCTTTAAATTCAGGTAGACTTGCATAGCAGTGATTAATGTTCTGCAGTCTCTTAGAAGCATTAAAAGGCTCATAAATATGCACCTTGAAAGCAAAAACCGCAATAAACCATGAATAAGAAGATTTAATAGATTTATAAAACCTTTTTTCATGATAATTAATGAGAAAAAAGGACTGGTTTAAGCATTTATAATTAAATCTGCTTTAGGAAGATTGTGATTCATCAATGTCTATCAACAGCAGGCATTTAAAAGTTTATTCTAAAACACCTGTAGGTGGAAATCAATCCCATTTCTACTGATTGTTTAGGACAGAAGAATATCTCTTTTTCACATTCCAAGGTGGCAACAATGATGCTACACAGTAGAGAAAAATATCATGTACTTGTGACAAAACTTGCTAAAACGTGCAAATATTAGCCCATAAAATAGTTATCAATGCTACTGGTCTGTAATTTGCTGATTGGCATATACATATCAAACATAATTAAACTGCACCAGAAGGGCAGGTTTACTTCTCAATATCTACTCTTCAGAAGAGTTGTAATAGCTCTACCCCCAACCAGCAGAAACTGCCAGAGAAAAGCTATAAAGCCATCAAATCTGAGGGACTGGCTTCCAAACAATATTGGGTAAAGATGTGACCTGCAAACATCAATCTCAGCGCTGGGACTTTCTACAGAAGAGGCAAACTTTAACAGCCTGGGAAATTTTCATCTGCGGTGATCAAACTTTTTTTCAGAGAAGGTTTTACACGATTAGTCTCTTTGAAGAAAAGCCTAGGTCTTTCAATTTACAGAGAGCAAATCTGTGTGAACTTAAATCCTTTATGAGACTGATCTGGTACAAAGTGGTGCTGAACCATACTTAATCTCAGTTTGATTCTTTGGCTGTCACAATCATCATTCTGATCACTGCTGCGGAAAAAAACATGGCTTGAAGTCATCACAGAACAGAGCAGCTCAACCCAACAGTGATTCTTTAATGCCAGGGGCCAGTGGAAATCAGCCACCACCTCCACCTGCAGCCCAGTTCTGAGGATCCACTCCCAGGAGTGATTGCTGAAAAAGCAGAGCAAGCAAACACACACGTGCACGCTTCAGCCAGAGCAGCAGTGGAGGAGGCGACGCACGAGAAGCTGATGACAGAGTGTCTGCAGGGCTCCCGTGCTGCTGCACGATTATTCATACCATACCTTCTACAAGTAAAGTCAGGACCCATGGCAATGTACTGTACGCCTGAGGGACACCAGCTCAAACTGGGAACGGCAAAAGAGGCAAAGAAAGGAAAAGGGCAGTGATTATCGGATTGTTATGGAACATGGGGAACGTTAAAAGACTCTCACTCTCACATATCTTAAAAAAAAACCAACAAAAAAACCCCAACGAACTCAGAAATAATGGAATAGCACACGTCTGGTTGCACAAACACACCACAGTGTCCCAAATGCCCAAGGTTACCACTGAACAGGGAGCAGGACAGCCCATGCTTCCCCCAAACCGACCCCATCAGAGAGTATACAATGTACTAGAAATAGTACTCCTTGTGGGGAGAGAGGTTTTTGGGAAAAACAAGGCCAAAACATACCAAAGCCAATTTGTAAGTAATCATACACAGCCATAGTGTTAGTAATGATTAATATTTTCCTGAGAACTCTCATCTTCAAATCAGAAAAATAATCCCTTACAGATATTTCATAGTGTAAGTGCCCTCCATAGAAATATTAATAATCTCAGCCTATGTTTGGAAAAATAAGGAGAAATACACATTCTTAAATGCTGCACAGACAGTCAGTGAAAGAGGCTGGACCAAAAAAATAGGCTAATCTTACTATTAACTTGGGATTAAATCAAGAGTGCTTCTAACTAAAAAAACCTTTCAGCTTCCATTCCCCGAAAGAGTCCCAAAGTTGCATCATGAAAGACATAAGAAATGCAAATACAGAATGCAAATATTTTGGTTGTTATTTTCGACTGCTTTTGGGTTTTTTTCTCTGTTAGCTCATGGCACAATTGCAGGTTTTGCAGAAACAGAGAAATCCATCTTCTTGTCAGCTATGACATTTATATGATCCTTAAATCCCGAAAAAGCTGTTCAGGAAGCAAACGTTGTCTGAAGGGAATTTTGCATGAGCACAAGTCCTGCTCCCAAGTGCTGGTCTGAGATCCATGCAAGGAGAGGACATGGCCAGAACATGCTCTGCTCCATGACAAGAGCCTATGAAAAGGGCAGAACGAATTTTGAGTTCCAGAAGCCTCTGAGGACACAGATGAAGATTTAAAGCCACTGAATGCAGCATGCCATGCCAGTAAGTCCTCATGTTGTTTCCACACATACTGCAACACTGGAAATGCTCTGGAAGGGTTTGACAATTGGAAACATTCTGGAAGAGTGTTCAGAGGTGGAGTTTAGATAATTGCTGCCTGTTTTATAAAGCACATTAACTGGGTGAGGATACACCCAAAGCTTAGCACCCCCAGCTCCCAGGTTCACCAGTAGCTCTCAGCACAGTACTATAAACATTCTTCATGAAACCATTCCTTCCCATAACTTGTCAATATTTCCAAGTACTTCATCATCCTCACCCAATTCAACTACAGTGGCAGATGTTTAAGTATTACTGCGGATGGCAGGGACTAAATACTGGTGTGAACTCACAGAGGAACTAAGTCCTGGCCACAGGACTCCATCACACACAATCTGCACTCTCAGGCCTGGGTTCAGCCTTCCAGTGGGTCACTCAGACCTGCTCAGGGGCAACTGAGAAATCATCCCAAGGAAGGTGTCACACATGATTCCCCAGGCCATCTGCTTGTGGCCACAAGAGCACTGAGCTTGGTCGACCCTCTGAGATATGCTTATGTCACCTTGCTTTACAAAGTCACTCATTTTGGTGTGGTCCCTTTTCAATTGAAGGAAAGAAGATTCTCATTAAAGAAATCATGTAATGTTCACACTAGACTTCAAAAGATGCCTCTATTCCTGCCCACTGCCATGTCATGATGATGATCCCAAATGCTAAAACTGCAGGGGAGGGAAGTAGAAAAGTAGAGGGAGGGAAGAAGAGGAGCCCTGCATATGTAGGAGGAAGCCTGTTAAGATGTCAGAGAAGGAAGGAAGGGGATCTGTTGGCAAAGGCTGTGGAAAGCACTCTTGAAGAATCATGGTCCTGCAGGGGAGCCACCCACAGCCTGTTGGCAACACCATAAAATCCAAAAAAGATTAATGCAGAGCATGCAAAACTCCTTTACAGAAGACAACTTGGGGAAGAGGAGGAGCTTTTATCTACATCAGCCTTGTGGGAGAGCACAAACTGTTGGAATCAGTTTCAGGCTCCTGCTCTGCAAGTGGGGTTAGAGAAGATGATTCCAAAATGGTTTAGAGACCAGAAAAAGTGAGAAAGTGTTTATGAAAGCATTCTCACACATTTCAGTTATGACCAGGTATTCTAGACATTTTCTAAATGTAAGCTTCGTGTTTCAGGATATTTTGACTCTAAATACTAACACAGCTCCAACAGAGGAGGAGCCTTAGGAGACTGCTGATAAAAAGAAGTTCATTTGCATGACAGGCACTGCACTGCTTCCTGCAGTGATGCAAATGAAGTGGCTTCTTAGAAGTAAAAAAGCATGTTCTTTCTTGTGCCTTTTTCTAAAAATTCTTTTTTAAGAACGTTCTTTTGAACTGCACAGCACTGCTAGGGTTCACTGACGCTGATGCACGGTGAGGCATGGTGATGTTTTTGGTCATAGCATCATGGTAACATTATTTTCACGTGTGGGGATGTGGTAGCTTGTTTACACACACATCACCTCATCCATATTTCAAATGAAGTGAAATCCTGTTAACCTAGCGAAGGCTATGGGAGGTGAGACAAGGTTGAACCACTGAAGGGCAGAAGTTCAACTTCTCTTTTCTCTTCAGCCTAAAATATCTGCATGTGGACAGCCCACATCTGCTGTGTGAAAAATTAAGTATCATCTTTTATATACTAATAGCCAATGCAAAGGTTACGTGAGAGGAACTGCATATCTGTGGGATGGATGAGAAACTGAAAGTTTGTAACAGAGAGGAAAACCACATGCAAGTAAAGAGAAAAACACACCTTATTTTCTATTTTTCAGGAAGATGGTTATAAAAACCATCAAAAGAGCAAAATTAAAGCCATTTAATTCAACCAGCTGCAGATCTGCAGTGTTCTCCAACTCTGAGATTGTGTCTGACCCATCCCCCTCCTCCAGCTGCCCCTCCTGCAAGTCTTGCCAGGAGTCTCTGATCTGGTTTAAATCCAAATCACATACATGCTCCCAGGTAAACCACTGTTTTAACCAACTCCAAGTCTTACACATGCCAAACACCAACAAAACCATATCTGAGATTTCTCTTCATTATTAACATAATGTCGTGCAGAAAACAGCTCGAGCTGTGCTCTGTGGGGCACAAAACCTGCCCTGGGTCAGACTGGAGAGAGAAAGCAGCCAGGAGGGATGCACAGCTCTAATGCCAACACTTCCAGAGGTACTAGAGGTTTACTAACATGAGAGGATGGAGTTAGTAGACATTCAAACACAAAACAGTTAGTCACATTAGTTGGCTTTGTACCTTCTCCTATGAATGGGAGGCTTCTTTATACCATCCCCCAGAATTCGCATTGAACTGAAAATGAATCATGGAGAATGGTCAGCAGCTTGAATGAAAAAAATTAATTAACAAATGGCAGCTAAAGGATTAATATTCCCCAACACACAGATAGAGGGAATGGACATACAGGGAAAACACAAAATGCAATATGAAAGGAAGTGATGAGTCTCTGTGTTTCTCCTCTCTTCTGCAAATAAATCTGGGGTTTGGTTGGTTTTATTTTGTACAGAAAGAAGGCTGCACAGGTATTGATCATGTTGCAACTCTGCTGCTGCCAAAGCCAGGCCAGTTTAAAGTTTAGATAAGGCCAAACTCTTTGACAGAAGCTGTTAGCAACAGTGATTAACACCAGCTCCAGTTTTGCAGTGCTTAATCCATCAGTGGAACACGAGGGTGTTTCTTTCCCCAGAAAATATACCTCTCTGGACATTTAACACACACTGCAGCATTGCTGAAAGACAGGCATTTCAAATCTGCTACCAATGCCAGGAATTAACTGAAAGATGAACATCCTCCTGTTCAGCCTTGTTGATTTTCTTCATATTTAAGAATATTAAAATAGCAAAATGTAGACACAAGGATTATCTGTGAAGTGCATTTGAGAAAAGATGGGAAGCAACGGAAAACTGACCATTTTTTCACATTCCATTTAAGATTTATTTTTCCCTTGATCTTTTCTGTGAACAAACTCTTATGCTCATGCCTCTTAAAAAGAGAAAACACGGAACAGTGGAAAGGATCAAATTTTACCAAAGGCTGGTTTCTTTTTCTGTAGGTTTTTTGCGTCCTGTATCAGCACCTCTATCTAAGCTTGACTTAGCTATCTTTGTCATCAAGGTTAGGACTATTTTTGGTGTGGATGGGGACTGCAAGTTGTTGCTGGGGCAGGAAGCACCTCTCAGAGCTCAGCTGATGGTGCCCTCTGTCACTCCATTCCTCTCCTTGGCTGCACAGCCCAGTTCTGATCCTTGGGCTGGTTTTGGTGGCAATTACACTTTATTTGGTTATTTTTCTCCTCATTTAGTGGGTGCAAGCTGCTCACCTACAGAGCAGAGAAGTGCCCAGAGGAGGGGAGGGAGCACAAAGGGGTGGGAGCAGCACAGATCCAGCCCATCAGCAGGACAAACCTCAGCCAAGGCTTGTGCTCAGTGCTACTCCACTTGGAAGGTTTGCCAAAGTCAAGTTGCAATAAGGACTTTTCCCCTTCAACTGGAAAAGCATCTACTGCATGTGAAAGAAATGAATAAGCAAACACTCCGAATTTAACTGATTTGAGTGAAAGTCACTTGTTTGCACTTCCTCAGTATTTGTTGTTTCACTTAGCAACGAGTCTCAACATCACAACAGCCACATAAGAAAAGAACAAAGAAAAGAACAGAACGACACAGCAAATAATCCAAATTCCTTTCTAAAAGAAGTATAAAAACAAACATAAATCTAATCAGCACCACAGACCCACCCAGTTTTTCGAATTACCCTACATGACAGCTATCCTTATGTAGCTGCAGCTGTATACGAGAACATATGAGAAGAATTACTGTTCCTTTAACTCAGATTTTCTTAAATTTACAAAGAATGTACTTTCCCATATCAGAAACAGCTTCCAAAGTGTGATGCAGGAGAATTTAACCCCATCTGTTCAGCGTTAGCAGTGATTGCCAGCTATGCAGTTTATTACTCTCAGAAATCCTTATGCATCAGGCCCTACACTTAAAAATAAATATCCCCAAATGAGTTTATGAGCTTATGGACTCATTCAGTCATAAACCTGCAGGTGTGCTGACTCTTTAGTCACTTTTAAAAATTGATAGGCATTACTTATTTAAATATTACCTGGGGACCAGGAATGAAGCCCAAAAAAGGTGACAGCATTAAATAACAACAACAACAATTTTTCACTGTATGTTACTTAGAGAACCCTGAATGGGCTTCAAAATTGACTTTAAAAGCTGAAGGGTCTACAGTGTTCCCTTAGTGATACCCAGAGCTGCTGTGTGTAAAGGATGCATACATTCCTGATGGGAGGCTGCTGCCTCTCCCCGGATTATCCAAAGGAGTCAGGAACCATTTTCAGGAACCCTTTGTGAGTGACCAGTTTTAAGTTAATGTCATCCAGCCCCACATGTGATGGCTCTGTTTCTGTTAACAGCAGAATATTTGCCATGAGGACACAACAGGCAGCCAGAGAGAGGCACTGCCCTGCACAGCTGGGCCTGCAGCCTCTGTGAGCTGCAGGGAGGATATGGCACCCTGAGCCTGATAAAGAAACTGGCCATTCCTGCTCTGAGAGCATTAAAGCACATTACAAACTCTGGCCAAACCTCCACTGGGCTCACAATACACAGGGTTTGGCCTCAAGCACCCCACAGCCCAAATGCTGAACAGTGCAGGGCATGGAAAGGAACCTCACACCAATCACTACTTTTTGTTGTGCATCTTCCTTTATTTCATCTTCTTCCCCACTGAAATGGGAGACTGAGCAACTTTTCTTCCCACAGTCACTTGGCACCAGCATGGACAAATTCTCATGGTTTGTACACCTCTCCCTCTTGTACCTTCTGAAAGAACAGATGGGAAAACTTCTCTTTTGAATCTTCCTGAAGAACACCAGGGACGCTGGTGATGAGTTAGGTGGAACTTATTGTCCACGAAAGACTGAAGTGGAAGCAATTCTGTGAAACAGGAAGGACCCATCTCACCATTATGAAGAGTTTCCACAGAATTTTTTTAAACCCCAGTGCCTGTGTTATCTCTTAATACAATCAGAGCAATAATGATCACGTTTATTCTGTGGTCAGAGATTTAACACTCCAGTAATTCCTTTGTACAGAAAGGGGTGGTGACAGTTCTAATGGAAGACCTGTCCTGAGGTAATTCCATTTACTCTGGAAAGCTCAAACATACTGTAAGTATTAAGTACTTTAATCCTGAAAGTTAATTTAAGAAAAACCAAACAAACATACGTTAGGAGATTGTCTGAACCTCTTCAAAAGGAAAAGAAATAATCAAAAGTGACGCGCTCGCTTCTGATAAACTCTTCAGTTTTATCACGCCAGCTTTAAAGCTCAGATAATTATGCATGAGTGGGTGCAGAGTAAATGAAAGCAGCTCTTCACTCACCTCCTCTGATTGATTTCTGCCTCGTTGGTGGCGTTCTTGCCCGGCCCCCAGCTGTGCCGACGGAAGGGGGAGAGCGGCCGCATGGAGCCGCGCAGCACGGAGGAGGGAGCGGGCACGTCCGTGATGCTGTCCAGCTCCTCTTCCTTCTCTCCCCCCTCTGAGGACACCATGTTGGTGCAGCTGCCATCCAGGCTGTGCCTGTCCTTGGGCTGGGCGAAGCTCCCCGTGGGTGGGAAGGGCAGGGACGTGTCGCTGCCCAGCGATGAGTTCCTCTCCAGGGACATAGTGTCATCCGCAGAGGAGCTGGAGCTGGTGACATCGCACGCAGACTGCTCCTCCTCAGGCTGCTGGGGGTGAGAAAAATTAAAAAATAAGTTCAAGTAGAATCATAAGACTGGTTTGGGTTGGAAGGGACCTCTAAAGGTGAGCTAGTCCAACACCCTTGCCTTGGGCAAGGACATTGTTCACTAGATCAGGCTGTTCACAGACCCATCCAGCCTGGCCCTGAACACTTCCAATGAAGTGAATACATTTAACATTTTAAATAAATGCAAATATTTTATATTTCACATGAGCTGAGAGATTTCTTAGTGGGTGGCATAAGGCAAATTAATCATCATAGAACTGAGACTTTTTGCTCTGATTTCAAAAGAGGTTGAAATGCTCTGCAGGGTGATCTCTTCCACCCCACAAGTCCCTGGCTGCCATTACCCAGGCTCCCAGCCCAGATCCTCTGCCTGCCTTCCTCTCCCCAATTCTATATTTCATCCTGCACAGCAAACCCTGCTCCTCTCACCATTTCTGGCTAAACCTGATATCAATCAAGGTGCCATAAAACTGCCAAAGGTTTACTGAGAGCAAGTAATGGGGAAGGGGGTTATCACAACTCCTGAGGACAAACTCCAGCCTCTCCTGTGGCACTGGGATGGGCTCGTAGAGCTCAAGGACAACACACTGTTCCACTGCATCAGGCAACACAAAAGGGAGAATTATTCAGTAGCAGAAAACAGAAAAAAATAAAAGCTTAGTTCCTCATCCCCAACTACTTTCCATTAAGCAGAGATATAATACCAGGGTTTGCAGCATTTTTCAAATCCAACTGTCTTCGAAAAATACTGTTCTGCAGGAACAGCTGCCCTGTATTAGAGATTTTGACTCATACTGTAATTTTTGGGTTTAGTTTGCTTCAAAAGCAGTATGTAGAAGCCAAAGTGGTTTTCTCTGGCCAAAGGGCACATGCTGACCATACAGCCCCAGAAGAGCCCTCGTTCCCTGTGGCCACAAGCACCTCTCTGACATCACCTCCAGTCTGAAGTGGTGTTTGCCCCGAGGGACTGACATGGGAAGTTTCAATTTATCCTCCTGCAGAGCCCTGTGCTGTATCATTTAAAATAAGAAGAGGCAGAGTGCTCTGTCAGGCCATACACAACAGAGCATTCAGCAAAGCCCTGGTGGTTTATTGTCCTCACACAGTGGGCTCAGGGGCTGGGCAGCAGCTGAGTGCTCCAGGGGCTGCAGGCTGTCTGCAAGCATTTGGCAGAAGACAGCTGGATACAAAATCCTGCTCTTGGAAGGGAAAGATGGGCATCACACCCATGGAGGGAAGGATGAGCAGGAGCAGTGCTAAACACTCTAGAGACTCTTGTTTTTCTGTGTTTTATTTGATGGGCGCATATAATAAGCTATAAGCTTTTTCTTTTATTTAACTGAACAAAAAGAGATATTCAAAAAGTCTTCTAATTGAATATTTCGCTATTCAGAGAGAATACCTGTTTCAAGCTTAGCTATTTTTTATTCTTAGTTCAGATTAACAGGTACACAATAACGTTCCTGAGATGGTTTAACTAAATGCTGCCACATTTCTTCCCTTCTCACATCCATCAAAGGGAAACAGAGGGAAAAAAAAAGACAGCATCCACAGCACAACACCGAAGTACAAGAACCTTTTAAACACCAAGCATTAAAAAACACACTAAAAATACATGCCTCCAAAAACATTCACTGCATGTTAACATACGTCAAACATTAATAGTGACTGTCAGAAAACCATATTCTGTAAACTAGTAAACTTTTGGATTTGATAGATATGAATAGGAGGTTGAGGTTTACAGAAAAGAGAAGTGAAATGGAAGCCCTATAAAGTTTTTGATGATGTTCAGCAGTATTCATGATAATCTGATATTTGTGTGACTCACGATGAGAGCTTACTGAATTGCTTAAATACAGACAAATCAAGTAGTCATTATGTGGGGAACACTCCTACAGTGGAGAAAACAGTCTGTCCGTTTTCTAAGACAGGAAAATACTACCAGACATTAGATTAGACTGGATGGGGCTTTGGAGCAACCTGGTCTAGTGGAAGGTGTCTCTGCCCATGGCAGGGGGCTGGAATAAGATGAGCTTTAAGGTCCCTTCCAGGCCAAGCCATTCTGTGATTCTGGGACTGGGGCAGCAGAGCAGGAGAGGAGAGGACTGACCTCACCCCATCAGCTGTGCCTTGTATGGGACAGTTTGGAAACTTTCAATCTGGATGCAAATCTAGAAACAATAATGCAGAACACCAAATTATATAGGGAAGAATTACAGTAAAAAGAGGAGTTTTTATTTCCCAAATGAGAATACTGCAGCAGTTTGAAATGCAGAACAAAACCCACTTCCCTAACTAGGAAGATTTAGGGCTTTTATCACAAAATGCAGTTCAAGGAGATGTTTGAAAAAAGGGAAATGCATTTGGTCCATTTAACTTTTACCTTGAGCATTCGACTGACGACAGAACACAATAAACAATTCCCTTGAACTTGTGGCCCACGCTTATTCTTCTAAAAATATTCTGCCGTCATTTCAATGATCTTTTTTTTTCTTTGAAACAAAGGGAAACAGTTAATATGAAAGATGACTCTGTCTGAAAAATGCCAAGTGTGGCTGACACATCTAAAATATCTATATTGTAGTCATCACTGCAAAAAAAGTAGCTATCTGGCCAGTAAATATGCATTGCTCTTTAATCCTATTTGAGTAAGAAAATCCCATGTTTGCAGAAGGGAATGGGTTCTTTTCTTACAGGAAAAAGAAAACATTAAAGAAATACTAATATTCTTCAAGTTAGGCTTGCTAGATTGCACCTCAGTGAATTCAGGACTTAATTGTGACCATAAACCTTGTGGCCAAAAAGAGCCTTTACAGACGTTTCCTAATTTTCTTTGCCCTCTGTACTTCCTGAGAAGCTTCTAAGAAAAAATAAGATAAGGTGTAAAGGTGAGTATTCTGAGAAAAGACACATGCACTTCCCTATGAACAGGGATAGCAGAAATCACTGGGATGGTGGGGGTATAAAATAACTTATTCAACTAAATTGCTCCACTGCAGGAGGTCTTGATAAGAGGAATTAAAAAGTTCTTTCAATCATTTCCGTGATGACAACACGTAAAGTGCTGAGACACAAACTTTGTTTGTCCCCTGACCTTCAAAGACATTAAAAGTGTTAGAGCGTTTTAAAAAAGAAGATGGAAAAAATTAAACCTTGGAATCCTGAAGTTTATTTGGAATACCAATCCACTAAAGGAGTTAACACCTTTAGCTGGCTTGATATATAATCCAGCAGAATAATTTTTTATTTGGATTTGCCTATGGCTCCAGGTTCCCTAAAATTAACCTCAATAGTGGTCTTCTATTAATTATTTATCATAACTTTTATGATTTGGAGTGGAGGTGAAAGCCTTTCCCTTAAAATTTTTATTCCTTTGGGTTTGTTTTTTTCTGCACAGCTGTTGAGGTTTTTTTTTTTGCTTTTTTTTTTTTAAGAGATACAAGAACTCTGAAAAAATAAATACAAAACATTTATGTATTTGTGTATTTCCTTTGAGCAAACCAAAACAAAGGCAGAAATTAAACAAAATTCAAGATACTGAGTTGCAACCCCTTCCTTTGGCAATGATCTGTGGGTTCCTGACTCCCTTTATCTGAATCATTTCCCAAGAGAAACATTAAAAAGCTTCCCAGTAATGCTGGACTTCGGTGGCTGTTGAAAGTTAAGATGAGCAAAGCGTTTGGGCTCCACCCCAGGATGCTGCCAGATGATTGTGAGAAATGACCTTATGCAGCATTAATCATTCAAGAAGGAGGATGCTGCAAAGCCTGCCCAGATGGCTGTCTGGGACAGAGAGGGAAAAGCAGGATGACGAGGACATGGGAATGAAGTGCTGACGCAAAAAAAAAGAAAAAAAAAACATTTTGCTGAAGCCATAGACTTGGAAGCAACTTCTGCATATCAGTGACAGCCTGTAAAGTCTGAAAAAAGGGCAGGTTTTAGTGTTAAAGCTCCCTGAACCCGACAGCTCATGTTCCACAGCTCAGCACACATTCCTCAGAGAGAGAAAGAAATGAAACAAGCACAGGAGAAGGGAAGGAGATGGGACAGGAGCACACACCAAACACCAGGGACAGGGTAAGGCACCTGCCCATTTTGTGACCCCAATTCTTCATGGGACAGAACCACGGCTTTCAGTCCATGAATTTCAAGTGATGTCTAAGGAAGCAGCCCAAAGACCCTGGACAGACAGCAACTCGTTCTTCCTACATTTATTTTAATGCATTATGTAGTTAACAAAGAATGAGTTATTTTTAAAATAAAATAAAAGAAAACAACTCTACTAGACAGGAGTTCAACTCTTGGTCCACAGAAAGGGGAAACAAGAACTGAAGTAATAATAACAATAATCACCATGACACTGAAAGGTTTGAGATCCTCTTTTTGTTCATAAACATATTCTGTCTCTTCCTAATTTGATATGCAAACTGTACTATTTCATAGGTTAATAAGTAATCAACTACAGCCAATATTTTCTGGACAAAAGATTACAGCCACCACTTATTTTGGTGGTCATTAAAAATATCTGTAATTTGCATTTCTACCACCTGGATTCAGTACTGTAACACCAAAAAAGATTTAATGAAGGAACAAGCTTGCAACACTAACTTTTTCTGATCCTTTAGAAATAACTTTACATGTAGAAAGAATACTCAGATAAATCCTCAGAAAGGAGACAAGGAATCAAATTGCTCAGGAAAACAAAAACAAAGCAACTGAGGTTGAGATTAGTTTTGAATAACTTCCTAAACTCAACTCAGGAACCTTTTGAAGCCATTTGAAGACAAAGTCTGCCACCCACTGCATAATGAGAACAATGTAAAGGCTACTAAATTAAGAAATTCCCTTTCCACAAATAAAAAAAATCCCGCCTCTGCCCTCTCTCCACTGGCACTGAAGATCTGCTTTCCCCACCACCTCCTCCCTTTGCTATGGCATCCCTGCTACACTGCACTGCCTATTCTGGTCACATTTTCATCTTTCTTTCTCCTATTTGAAGAAGGAAGCTTTCCACATATGAATGGGGAAAAGCTAAAATTCCGTATAATATAAAATTTGCTGTGTTCCCACTGCACTCTTCTCCCACACTTTCCCATAGAAGCATTAAACCAGGCTCAAATGGCAGCTGGCTGATGCAATCCTGTCACTCTGCACAAGGGAACTGAAGACAGCCTGCACTGCCAAACAGCCTTGTACTCTGACAGTCCAGGTCCTTTTGACAGTAGGATGGGGAAGGGTGAGGCTGGTGAGCTCTGTGCCCTACCACGTGCATTAGGGATGACTTTACTCTTCATTTATAGCACATGAGGTCACTTAGCCTGGGCTGTGGTGTTCCCCATCCTGCTGGAAAATATTTACCACCATCTGATTTGATTTCAGCAAACAGAATTCAATACATTTCTCGGAAAGCCATTGTGAAAGCTGTTCTGAGAGTTAAGTTTTTCAGAGTAGGAGCTGTGCCTGCTCAAACCTGTGAGCTGAAGCTGAGCCAAAGAGTGGGATTTCATGGAGACCACAGTGATGGCTGCTCTAAAGAAGGGTCACATCCCTTTTGATTCTACATCACTATATTCTTTCAGTGTGCTTTTTCATCATCTGCTTATGCCAAGAAGAATACAAATAACCAGCAAGATGATTCTTCAAGAGCAAAAACCTAACGACCCCCTGAATAAATTCAGGCTGCTCTGACGTAGATGCAGAAGACTGATGCCAATGCGAGGCATCCTCTCTGCTCAGGAGGCCAGCTCTGTTTCTCAGGTCTCTCCCACTCCTCCTCAGCAACACAAAGGGCACAGGGATGACTAAGGTTAGCAATGACTTCTGTTGTTGATTTTAAGCAAACTTGAAAACACTTTCATTCTACTTGCACGCAAACAGGCATTAGAGGTATGTCGCCAAGGCAACAAAACTATTCCCTGGAATTGGCCTGAAGTATTTAGAATGAGTGTTTCCTTCCTATGACACTGAATTTACAGAAAAACACTGGTTCCTCTGAGAGTTACAGCATATAAATCTGAAGGTGTCAGCACAGAGGTCACAGTTTGCTGGAGAAAAGCTCTTTGTTACATGAGTTAAAGATGGATTTCATATCGTCTGTGCAATCCCTAACGACCTTGCAAGAAAATCCACCTTTTCAGCTGTTACTCTGGTGCCTGATTTACTTTTGGACAGACAAAATTACTTCCATTTTTTTAACCATTGGGGGCTGCACAGCTTTTGGAATTCTGCTGCAAGTAAATACATCCCTCATGTTGCTGCATCCAAGGAGCAGACCGGATCCTTCCCATCTATTTGGTTCCAGGATAATCACTTCCAGGTTTCCAGCTCACCAGTGAAACCAAGATGATCTGTGTGCTGTATGGGCTCATCAGGGGCTTTTTTAACCATATCCCAACGAGGCTTTCTTACCTTCCCAAAGACAAGGTCTTCCATCCCATCACCAGGCAGGGGGAAGAGGTCAGACTCACTCCCAGATTCTCTTTTAAGACCACCCTGTGATGAGGCACAGACACTGCTCAGCCCATCTTCCAAGAAGTTCTCACATTCTGCAGGAGCAAAGCACAAGGAGTCACAACCTGGGGCTTTCTGTAGCATCCACACAGCAGACTCGCATTCCCTCAGTGAATTCCAGGATTTAAAACACACAGCTTTACAAATAAAGCTTTATAAATTTGTTCAGCTCTCAAAACTGCCTGTGAATTCTCATATGATTGATTCCAGAGTTTAAAACTCCTTTTTAAGTGCATCATTGAAGTACTGAAATTCTGCAAGGAACAGCTGTAAACATTTGTAGCTTGAGGTGCTGATAAATATACTACATATGAGGCATCCCATACAGTGCATAATGGGACGTTTCCTATCGATTGCAACAACTGTAAAATTAGATTCATATTCAATAAATATAAAAATATAACTTGTCAATATTTGCCTTCATTCTCAAAGAATCAATTCCTTCTAAAAGCCAAGGTGTCTTTAATGTATATTTGTACAATTATTCAATTTCTTCTTCTACCCTCCGTACTGAAAAAGCACTAGTGTGAATTCCATGACAAGCTTTACTTTTTCAAGATGCAAAAATTAAGTGATTTTTTAAAAAACCTCTCAGCTTTCGTAACTCCTGACACTGAAATATAAACATGTTGCATCTCTTTTTTTCTCAGATGCTTCCAGCTTTTGAAACCCAGTTTGCACTGGGTTAATCAGGAGTACAGAACTAGACTGCAGCCCCTGCAAAAGCCCTCTTTCCAAAACCTTTAACAGACAAGTATTTGCCTGGGAAATTACTACATATTTTATTTCTTCACCCTTCAGGTAAAAGTATTAATGACAATTTTGACAAAAATTGAACACTCCAATTTCCCAGCTCAAAATATTTTCTAATTATTACTTTGCTTGAGTTTTTTTTTTTAAATAAAGATGCTATTTTGCACCTCCTCTAACTAAATAGAGCCAAAATGTGCTCAGCTGTCTAGAGATGAGCCAGGGCAATAAAATATTAGTTCACCCTTAAATTATACTTCACTAACTCCATCTTTGGTGACATCAAGCTTAAACATCAGTGAAAGGATGACAGGTTTGAGTAGCTTAAGGTCACCTCTTTGCTTACCCCATCCTGAGAGCAGCTATGGAACCCCCCAGCCACATCCCAACTGAAGGGAGTGACTCCACTTCTGGAGAAAATAGCATTTCTTTGATAGTGGTGGGGCTGCCCCCATTTAGGGCAGGGGGAGTCAAAGCCACTCGGAAACCCCATTACCCCGTAGAGGAATTTCCACACTGTGGAGAATTGGAAAAGCACTTATTGGATGCTGCAGCTGCTCCCGTTCCCCTTTCAGTAAACCTGGAAAATCTGAAGTGCTTTTCCATCAGCGAGGGGGAGAAGGGAGGGGAGAGACAAGGGGGGGAACGAAGGGAAAGAAGAGACGGAGCGGCTGCGAGGCCACGGGCCAGGTGCTGTTCCTCCAGCTGGCAGCCAGCACAGCATGTCCACAGCCCAGACTGAAAAACAAAGGGGCTCCAGCCACGTTCCACTGGAAAAAAAACAGTGGGGACAGCTCAGATGTGCTGAGGGATGGGCACCTCACCCTGAGGATGAAGCACCAGAGGCAGCGAAGCCTCCTCGGGAGGAGCCTCCCAGGGGCAGGAGATGAATTAGAGGGGAAGGATGAGGAGCAGGGTGATGGGGACCCCTCACCACACCTCAGCCCATTTGTGCTGAGAAACTCATTCCCAAGCCCTCTCTTCCCTACACTCTCCTTCATTTTTGGTTGGTGTGCATATTTTCTCCATTTTCTCCCTGTCCTTTTCTCAGTTTGCTGGGTTTGTTTTGCATTGCATAGGCACTGCACAAAGCCAGGCTCTGTGTCTCACATCCCTGGCAACACTTCTGTGCATAATATAAAGGCAAAATAATACAGAGAAAAAAGCCCTAAGAAGAACTTTTCCAAGCAATCTCTTCTGTACATTTTCCAGATTCTTGTGTTCTCCAAGCCAAGGCTGAGCCCTTCAATTCCATACTGATAACTCTGTATCTGCTACACTCCTCTGCACATCTAATTTCAAAAGCTCCAAATGAAAATGAGAAGCTCCAATTTCTGGAGTTACCTTCTACGATCTGAGATCTCTGTCCTTGCAAGTCATTTCAGCAGATGAAAAGGGCCTAATTCCTTATCAAGTACTGTATTTTTAATTTAGCCACATTGACTGCTTGTGATTTTATTGCTGTTAAGTTTTGCCAGATTTTTCTTGCCCTCTCTACACTGCCCATAACCACAGAGCTGCAGGAGGATGCCTGTGCAGTAACAATATTATTTCTAGAAAGGCCAGAACCTGCATAACCTGAGATCCTTCTGCTGCTTCAGTCCATCTGGAGAGCACATTTACCTAAAAACCGATCTCTTTATGCATGTGTTACAGACATGTATTACTATAATTATTAATATAAATTTGTGTATTTACAGCTACCTAATTACGTATTTTTTTTATTTCTATAGGGTACTATTGCACTAGATAATTAATAGGTGTGCAACTGATAGTGATCCATAGGAATACATGATTATATATTTGGCAAGCCAAATGAGTCCATGTAGTTTTGTCGACAAATGGTTTGCAGTAACTATTGCCTGAAGCATAAAAATACTGCACTAAGAGGCAAAGGATTCACAGATACAATTAGTAAAGAAGAGGCATGGCAATACCACAGGTTCTCTTGTAAAAACACTCTTGAAACAGCTATTGCTGTTAATGACTCTTACATAAAGGGCAGTATTTTTTTGTTTGTTTGTTTGTTTGCTTTTAATAAAAAAGCACTTATTTAACTTCAATGTGAGCTAAAACTTCTATTTAGGATAAACCTCTCAGGTCACTAGCCCACACTATCCCTTCTTAGCCTACAGTCTAAAAGACCGAGTTTAAATTTCACATTGACACCCATTTTCTTGCAAGTCTCTCATATAAACTGAAGGAGATTTGAGTAAGACCATTGCTCATAAGGACAGCAGAGCAAGAGGCTTCCTCTCCATGAGCAGCCTAAGCAAAGTCCCTATTCAGGGCCCTGATAAATTACTCTGTTTGTTTCAAACATGCATAATCCAGTGAAAAGAAATGCTTTTTTTCTTATCTTGGACACCAACCCTTCTTTGAAGCTTGCCCAGACTAGATTTTCTGTCCCAGTGGAAGAGCCAGAAAACACCAGCCAGCACGCAGGGCTGGGATGGGATGGGATCTTGGCACAGCCAGTGGGCAGGGTGTGGGAACAATGGCTCTGAACAGCCTTCTTGCTTCCTGAGCCTGGAATCATGGCAACTTTTGGTGGGGGGGGGGAAATAAAAATCTCAAGCCACTGATTTGGGTCTAAATGCAGATTTAGGAGTTCAAATTTCTGGGTTTTTTTTTTATCATATTATCTTTTTAGCTAGAAACTATGTACGTGTGCCCACTGCAACATATTTCAAGTTTATTTAGGAAAAAAAAAAAAAAAGGAGGAGAATCAAAATACTGAAGCATTTGAAATGCAGAGTTATTTGAGATGGTGACACACCACACAGCTCCCTGCTAGTCAAGTGCTGCAGCCATGTGCTAACAGTGACTCACAGCACAGTCATTACACAGTTTCTTTAATTTATGTGTTTTCCCCATCCAGGCCAGGATGTTAAAAAGAGGAAGAAAAGGAGGGACAGAGAAGGTGAGAGGGAGGAGGGCTGCTGGTGTGGAGCTGCCCTCGGCACAAGGCTCACCTGGAGACTCCCGTGTGCGCTTGCGCTCCAGCAGGGAGGGGTCGGGACATGGCTCCAGCGGGCACCAGCTCTCACGGTTTATCTGGAAAACACAGCACAGCACATCAGAGAAAGGCCACTCTCACCAGCACCCCCGTGAGTCTCTTCTCCAATACCTCTCTGCATCAACCAGCACATACGAAGTTACGGTCTAATTTTTTCCCAATAATAAAAATGTCAAAAGTAACATACGATTTTAGTCTTTTTTGCATCACTAAACAAACCATTAGATTATGCCAAAACCCTTTATTTCTCCATGGAAAGTGTGATCTGAAGATGGATCCTGCTCAAGGAAGGAGTTCAGAGGGAGGATGAGTCAGTGTTTAAGCTACTAGTAGAGGACTGGATAACCTTGGCTTCAAGTCCCAGCTCTATTTGTAGCTGGACTGCAGGAAAATACTCTTCTGCTTTATGCCTCGGTTCACTACCTACAGAATAGAAATTCCTTACCACCCATATTGCTGTACAGATAATTAGCTCAGAGATAGCAAAGTGCTCTGGTGGTGTGGAATGGTGGGCTTGGGAAGTGCCCAGGTCATGGTGAGAACCAGAAGCACTTTGGGCTTGCATTAACTGAAACGATGATGATAGAAACGCCCATTTTAACACTAAGACACATCACATGGTTTATTTCAACATCAGCCCTTATCACCTCACTCCGCCCTTCACCCTTTCCATGACTCCCAGTCTTTCAGCAAGGATGACTGATCTGTTCTCAGCCTCCTCCTCCCTCTGCCTGTGCTTTCATCTTCCTCACTCGGGTAGTGTTGTCCAACATTTTGACTCAGAAGTCTGCTGGACTATCCACAACCCTTGGCTCATCCAACATTCACTTCCCATCACTTCTGTCTGCATCTGGCAGACTCTGGAAGCCCCTTTACTCTCTCTGCCATTTTTTTGAGCCAAATGCCTTTACTTACTGTTAAATGCATGCAAATCTCACCTGTCCCACACCACAAAACCCAGAAGTTATTTCTCCTCCTGACCTGCCTCAGCACACAGGATCTCATATTTTAAGTTGTAGCTAAAAGAAAGCTACTGAAATGGATGACTTAGCCTGATTTTATATGGCAAGTATTTCTACTCACTCTCTGGCTTTCCTTTTATCTCCTGAAATAATTTCCTTTCCTTCCTTTCAAACAGCAGATTTTTACTATTTATTTTTTGCCTCTGACCTATGTTCAAATCTCCTCCATGATCCTGCTCTGTTTTTGCAGCCCTTTGCTGTATTCCCATCCCCTCAATGTTCTCCTTTCTCCTACGTTATGAAATGCGCTGGTCTTGCCTTCTTATTATTTATTTTTAAAAATAAATTAAAACCAAGCCTCTCCTGCCCTTGACCTGACGTGCTGCTTTGACTAATGACCCACGTCCTTGTTTCCTCTCTCACTGAGATCATGGAATGTGTTACTGCAGTCCTTGGCTGGCTCGTCCCCGCTCTGGCTGTGTCCCCTGCCCGTCACCCCAGGGGCTCCTGCCAGCACCTCTGCTCCCCTCCTGCTCTCCACACCACACAGGCAACCCTGCACTCCCCCACACCTGGCAGCTACTTGCTACAGCACATTTTTCTTCTTCAGGTTTTGTCCTCCTCCATACTTGTGCGATGACAAAAAGGGGTTGGGAGGGCCTTTGACAGGTCAGGCAGTCCCTGAGCCAAGTCAGGCTCAATGATCATCTGAGAGGTCCCAATCCAACGTGCCCTGAAAATCCTCCAGTGGAGAGGATGCCGTGACCTTCCCCAGTCAGCAGCTCTGGCTGACAGAGACTGGGAAGGAACAGAGAAGTTCTGAGAGTGGAAAAATGAGCAGGAGTCTCCCAGGAGGGGTGAAGGAGATGTTGAGCTCTACCAGAGCCAGGTCTTGGGGTGACCTCAGTGCAGGTCCCACCTGGATGTCCCTCCCACCTCCATGGAATCTTGCAGACTACTTTTCTTAAGGATGATGTACACTTTGTAGCACTTACTCCCTGCCTGCTTTACACAGATATTCACCCAAGACCCCATCACACCTCTCTAGGTACACATATCTAAGATCTCAGAGTTCCCTGCACCTCTGCTCCACACACCCCTGTATATCCATTTCCTCCTTTTTACATACAATACATCTATATTAAATGAGAGGCAGCGAGTAAAAGAGAAGCAGTCTTCAGTCTAAGAAAGGATTTTTAAGTAAAACTTCAAAACAGTATTTTTTTGGCTTTCCAAAGTGACATAAGGATGTTGCATTTTAACTGCTGCATGGACAATGGGTCACATTCTGATTCTTTCAACAGAAGACACTCCCTGTTCTCAGAGAGGCTGTGTGGTATCTAACCTTAGCATCTAAACTTAACCACGGAATTTATTCTTTATTTAGTCTTAAAAGAGCTGCAAAGTCAATAAATTCCACTTCATGACTGTAAAGTCAATAAATATCATGCTATTATTCTTTTCTCTCCAGACAAAGCAGAATAAATTTGCACCACACTTTCCTGTATCTTATTAAAGGCAAATCTAGAGGTTGAGGCTGAACACACATAGAAGGACAAATGCAAATGTGTTCAAGTCCACACAAATGAAGGAATGACCCATTTAAGATACAAAATCAAATTCTGTCTCCTTCTGACTGACTTGCACCTCCCTCCCTCCTCAAGAAGAGTCTGACCCTCCTTAATTTTAAACAAATCACCATCAAATTCAAAGGAACTACTCCTGCCTTATACTGATATCCACTACTGGAAATCAGTAATTAAACATCCCATCCAATAATTAGCACTAAGAAAGTAAAATAGGAAGAAGTTCAAGCTGTCTGTTGAATAAGCCATATTAGGCTGAATTACCATTATATATTTTCCTTTAATAGAACCAATTGAGTCATTCACTGAAAATGCATTATAGACATTGGCATTTTTTCAAAAAAGATTTGAGCATTTTTCCCATTTCCCAGCCAGCTCTCTCCTCAGCCCTGTGACTTTGCCAAGTATTGAAAACGTCTGCTTTTCTCTATTAAAAGAAGTAATGAGAGAATAACACTGAGGTTTAAGGTGCTGCTTCAGATATACTTAATTATACACAAAATAAAACATTAGAAACTAAATATTTATCTCAGTAGCCCTAGTTCAGGAAAAATAATAATCACCATCAAAACAAAAACAAAGGAAACCACTACTATATACAAATATTCCCCAGGCCAAAACGAGCCCAGACAGGCTTTGAGGGAGGTTTACTGCATAGTCTCAGGGAACTGGGTGGTCCATAGATACTCAAAACACAAACCCCACCATCCACAGCCCAACACTGAGTACTGGGATCCCTCCTCAACACCTGAATTCTGCTTGTGTTTACTCGGGACTAGTGAGTACAGGTACAGACAGTAAGAGCTGGAGAGGAAATTATTTTTATGAAAGCATCTGAACATCAGGAGCTGGAGAATGCACCAGGATGGAGAAATGTGAAATGAGATTGATTCGGGATTTCAAGACACATGCGCCTTGCACGTGAGAAAATTCCTCCCTTTTCCCTGCAGCTTCTTGTTTTGCTGAGAGAAGCCCAAGGACAGGACCACAGGCTGGTGGCCACAGAAGATGATGAAAGCCCCACACTCTCTTGCTTGCCCGCACTGATTATAGCTCATTGATCCCAGGCATCCCAAGTCTCTGTGGTGGGAGCAGAGGATGCAGTGCTGTTCCAGTAGCAGAGGGAATATGAAACAGCCTCTGGGAACAGAGTTTCAATACACAGCTTTTGAAGAAATGCCAGGAGAGAGCCAGCTATTTTTCCATACAGAAGCCTGAATGTGTTTATCTGCAGCTCAGACACAGAATGAATCATGGGAACACATCCCCAGGCACCAAGGACTGAATCCTGCAGGATTTTCTGTTTGCCTGTGAAACAGCAGCAGGCTAAATGTTCAAAGAGGCCTTTAGGACACCAGCTGGAGCTGAGAGCAGCTGATGGTTCCATTTGTCTTTCTGGGCACACACAGGTATTTCCTGACTCTCAGGGACATCTTCCTGCAGACTCTGAACTTGAATCTTGATGTGATTTAATGCATAAGGAAAGGACAGTGCTGGGCAGGCTGAGACACCCGGTGTTCTCTGTCCTGCAGGAACTGTCAGTGACCCCAGACTCCACTCCCAGGCTCTTCCTTCATCTCCCCTTGGTCTTGGACAAGGAATTATCTGATCCACTCCAGTGTGGTGCCTGCCCCTAAAACCAGGATCAGGACCTCCTTCTCAAAGACACCCCAACAATATCTAGGGCAGGACTATGTGGTGGAGGCACCTTGGGAGCCTCTCCTACATTTCCAGCATGGAAAAGTCCTTTTTCTCTCCCTCTGGTTTTATTTTAACTCTTCTTGCCTTCCATTTCACAATAAAGAGAACACACTGACCTTTCAGGAAATCTTTTGCTATTGCAAAAGTTTGCACTTGTCAACCTCACTGGTCGTGATATAAATCAACATCTCCAGAGCACAAGGAACCAGATGACTTTAACTTTCATTTCCTAGCAGATCTCCAGAGATTCATCTTCCCTCCATATTATTTTAACTTTGTCCTAAATGTGCAAGTTTCCATTTTTCTCCTTTCATTTTTCCCAGCTTCCAGACTATGGGAAGTTTTACCTTGCAGCTAAAACCAGATACTACTGCACATAGGAAAATATTTAGGAGAGTAATTGTGGCTTGCTTAGTGTATCATTAAGTACTTGGGCACCACACTGAGTAATATCCATTTTAAATATCCATTGTAGAATAAAAGTAATAGAGAAAAGCAAATACTTCAATTATAATTAGTTATAATTAAATTTTTTCATAAGCAGAAATGAGACAATGTTTTTTTCTTAAGTTCTATGGATATTGTAATTATTATTGTAAATATTTTAGGAATTTCCTGTTCCTGAAAATTTCCTATAGGACTAAAGAAATTTGTACACATAACTGGAATTCAATGTTTATGCTGACCAACTTTTAACTTTACAATTCCATTTACAATGAAATTATCCAGTTGCCTGCAATTCCTGCACTAGAAACTAAAGCAACATTTGACTTATCCCCTTCACAAAAA